GAATGCTTTAGTCGTTTGTTTCTGTTGTACTCTTAAGAATACTACTTTTCCTTAAATGGTAATTTTTTTTTTTTTAAACAAAGGTTTGATAAATTGTCAATTATTGTATTTGAATTCCAAAACAACTTTGAACTTTTCAAAGATCATCAAAGAAAAATAAAACAACTAATTTACCACATAGTTTAACTAACGTTCGTGTTGGTACGTCGCAAAAATGATAAAATAAAAATCAGACCAAGGTTTGTGTATCATAAAACATCCAACTATATTTAGATGGTAAGCAAAATAATAAAAGGCAAATGTCTGAACCAATTTAATAATAAAATATTTAATCAATTATGTAATCAACACAAGATAAAGATGGGAGTGTTACAGAAATAACTACTTTCTAGTCCAATCCTTACAAAAACCCAGATGTTGATATATTTGGAATTGTTGCGTCAATAAGTTGCGTATTTAGTACGTAGCATTAACACTGCAGATAAAACATCTGTTAAGTTACTTAATGTTTATTGGAACAGTCGAGTATAAGTGACATCAATAATGTCACTCAAAACAATAAAATCACGATCCTGATTGTTTTACAAATGTCATAACGTTTGGAAAAAACGTCATTCGGCACACCTCGGCAGATCTAAGTTACATGAAGGGTAGCGGAGTTTTGGCCGGTTGAGATCTATAGAGGAGGAATATGCAACGGGGAGAATCAAAACTCAGAAATCGAAAAGAGAGATCAAGGCAAAAAATGAAAAACGACGAGTCTACAAGATTAAATTCTTCAAATATCTTAAAAGCAGGACTTTTATGGAAAAAAAGTTTACCGATAGTTTTCAGTTGAAAATGATGCTTTTTTGTTAAAATATCTTATTTCCAATTTGATGTTTCTAGGGACAAGATTGACATGCCTCAGTTCAAAATTGACATTTCTATGTTCGAAGTTGACATTAATTTTCTATGTTCCAAGTTGACATTTCTCAGTTCCGAAAAAATTCAAATAGGACATTATAGTTTATATGCGTCCGAGACGCTTTTCTGGATTTATCTTCATCAGGAACGGCCAAATCCAAGTATTTGAAATCAAAGGGTGTATAAGTACCGAAACACGTGAAGCTATATGACCAAAAGGACATAAGAATAACAGCCAAATCAATGTAATGCCAAATTTGCATGTGAGTTGGAACCTTAATTGTTTAATAATTCAAAATTTATAAACGGACAATTTGAGTCAAGAATGTTATTAATCATGTCAGTACCGAAGCACTTAAAACACGATTACAATTATCAACATAATAAAGGATAATATTTCCTCGATTCCTCTACATTAAACTTTAATATTTATGCATCAAATAATTATTATTTAAAAATCGACTCAATACATTATTTTCGGATGGGCAAAAGACAATGTTCATTATATTTTACATCAATCTAGAAATCAATTTAGAGCCCAAACCATTTGCATGGTCGTAAATTACTATCAAAATACCATTAAATTTTTATTTTCTGTCACAAAGAACATCCGATTTTACGCTTTTGTTGCTTAGTATCAGTAAAATAAACAATTATTACAATAAAATTTCTGCGTGGTTTTTTTCAAACGCACCGAATTGGAAGTAACAATATATATAGAGAGACACATCAAAATGCCGTTACGGTGTTTTTGTATGATTGTTAAGAAAGAAAAATTGTAAGCAAATAACTCATATCAGTAATAGTAAATCTGTAAATGAATATGTTTTGCTATTGTGAATTAATGACGGAAATCAGTTAGCTATATATATAAACCACATCAACAAAAGAAACTAGGTCAATACTACTTAATATGGTGGACTATATCACAGCTCAGTAATCACTGTGTCATTTATAACCTATTTTTCGTTGATAAATTAACAAATTATAAAGTTAACTGCTGTTCCAACTCCCTCCCGCAAAGCTGACCTTTAATGAATTTGGCTTTTCTTTTTAGGTCCTATTTTGGTCATATAGATCCTAACGTTTCTATGTATTTATACAACCCTGACATTCGTATTATTTTGCGTTCGAGCGTGTCTGATGAAGGTAAGTGGGTCTCATTGGGGTCAAAGCGTGACCCGGGATTGCTGATTTTTTTGTAAGCGTGAGACGTGAAAGTCAAATTATTGTGCCGTGAAAACGGGAAATAAAGTCTAGCGGGACACGGAAAATTACAAAAAAATGAGAATTGCTTACGTACATAGTGTAAGCGGGATACCTGAATCTGACAAAACAGTAAGTGGGATCCGGGATCAGAACCCCCCAATGAGACCCCCAGGTAAGTTCTGAAAAGCTCTTCTGAGGCTCGAAATTTGTAAAGTGTTATTTTCATTAAAAAGCATACGACATAGACGTTACAACATAAGACCACCTGGCCATGTGAACCTGTAAAGTTAGGTATATCATTTGTTTTCCATATCTCTCTTTTTATTCTAATATATCCATTGCATGGGTAACATCATATCCTTCCTGGGACTCTGAAGACGAAACTATTACTTGTATCAAGTTGTTGCATTTGCTGGCTTCCTCCTTTGAATTGTTTCCCATTTTGTTATGCTAGGTTTATTATAGCTTACTATACGGTATTTGGTTTGCTCCTTGTTGAAGGCTTACCGGTGACCTGTAATTGTTCATATGTTTGTTCTCAAGTCTTAATGTTTGGGTGTTTATTGGGAATCATTCCACATCGCCTTATTGTTTTTAATATCTGGTAAATTAAAGATATATTACATCTAATTCCATAATATTGAAATGAGCGACCTCATACAATTATAAATAAAAAACATTGTAGGAGAATGACTGATTGATTGACTTTTGGGGTTGTACTCCACAGTACCACAACAAGACTCTATGCAGGCGATGAACATGAAACGAATGATATAAAAATGAATATGAAATACAAAAAGGTGATATATGACATAAACAGAAAAAAACTACAACAGTATATATATGCAGAGATTAATTATACTGATCTTACGGTATAGTGCTATTTTTGTTTGCACTATGATCATAGACTCTTTCACAACACATCTCGCAGGTGGAGAAACTAATCCTTATTCGGAGCAAGGGGGTTCTATTCTGAATGGTAGGAAAACTAAATACAAATAAAATTGAGAATGGAAATGGGGAATGTGTCAAAGAGACAACAACCCGACAATAGAGCAGACAACAGCCGAAGGCCACCAATGGGTCTTCAATGCAGCGAGAAACTCCCGCACCCGGAGGCGTCCTTCAGCTGGCCCCTAAACAAATATGTATACTAGTTCAGTGATAATGGACGTCATACTAAACTCCAAATTATACACAAGAAACTAAAATTAAAAATGATACAAGACTAACAAAGGCCAGAGGCTCCTGACTTGGGACAGGCGCAAAAATGCGGCGGGGTTAAACATGTTTTTTGATATCTCAACCCTCCCCCTATACCTCTAGCCAATGTAGAAAAAACAAACGTACAACAGTACGCACAGTAAAACTCAGTTTAATAGAATAGAATAATATACAACATGTATACCCCAAGGTAATTGTAATACAGATATAGATGAAAAGTGATATTTGTAGTCATTGGAAAAAGTATTGAACTGGGTTATCTTTATGTGGAAAATACATTTACTAAGCGTGGTCAACCTTCTTGTGTTTCATCAAAAGCAGACATATTGAAGATTTATATCCTGGTTGTGGAAGAAATTAGTCATAATTATTTTTTATCAATTATCACAAAATTGAAACATAACTCGCTATGGGAATTTCATTGACAGGATAGAAACAATAAATGGAAACCCACGGTGCAAAATTTAATATCCTTGAAATTCTTCCGTATCTTAAAAAAAATCACGAAGGAACATTCCGTGTGTGGTCATTAATGCAGGATAGAGTGAATGTTTTGACAAACAATAAATATATAGTTAAAAATAAAAGATAAATTGATTTTATGTGATGTTGGCAGAGCTGGATATTTTTCAAATTTCTATATGACATTGCTATTTAACCGATGCTTGATTATTAATTATCAGAATCAGAGAAACTGTACCCTTTTCCTCGTTAAGTGCGTACCAAATTACACAAGACTCGTCACCGGTGTTTATGAACAACACGGCGAGTTCATTCTCGGGCACCTTAGTTATGCTCCATATTTGATGGGATTCGTTCTGCTCAATTTTGGTTTTCTATGTAGTATTATGGTGACTGTTTTGTTTTGTTTTTTTTTTGTCTTCTTTTTTCGGTCCAGGTGTTGTCTGTTTTTTGTTTTTGTTCGACTTGTGTTTTTTTTTACCGCTGAGTATGATGCATCTCTCCCATTTTTAAACAGCTGACCAAGAGATTTGTACCATTAGGCTTACGATAATTCAAAGTATTAAAATTTGAATTAAAAATATGATGACAGATGGACGGACAGAATTTTGTGCTATTGTTTTCAACTTGGATGATATAGAACATATCTGGAGTTTTATGTTTAAAAATCCAGAAAGTAAATCATCGATTTACCAAAATAAAATCTTTTTCTAAAGAATAATTTTCTATTGCATACCTATTTCCATTAATATTGGATACATGTTAAAACACATAAAACATGAAATGGAGTAACAGTAAGTAAAAGGGAGTCCAAATGTTTGCATATAGATCTAAATGTACTTTTAGTACAGTCATACTATAGATACAATGTATATAGTAGATATATGTTACTGTAACTGTTAATACTAGTACATACTAGGTTCTTTTTAAGAAATTTACAATCACTGCTCGATAAATATGCACAATTATAAATCAAAGAAATACTTTTACAATGACTTATATATGTACATAAAGCAAAAATGGTTCACTTTTTTATCACACTACCCGGACACCAAATCTTTAGAAAATGCATGTATAAACATAAGCTATAATATATAAAATTAAAACTTATATTAATATTATTAAAATAATAAAATTTTGTTAATCTTAAAAATAGAAAGTCTTAATGGTTCTTCCTTTGCATTGTAAAACTTTCTTACCTTTAAACAAAGTGGATCACTATTGACAACTGCATTCGTACATTCCAAGATTGCAATGATGAGAAATACTGTTAATATTTAGTTTTTCACAATTACTTAATTGTCATTTAATTTTTACCGTCCAAACAATACCTCTCTTAATCCAGTGTTATAGAAAAATCTGTTGGAGTCTTAAGATGAACTACAGTAACCTCGGATCACTCGGAATTTATCGATAAAATCTCCGTTACCATAATAACGAATGAATATCCAAAGATGCGAGATTTTTGGCGATAACGAGACTTCCGTGGTCCAATGCAAACGAAGGTCATTACTCCAACTGAAAATAAGATCGTTTCTTCATAACCTTCAATAAAGGCATCATTTCGTTTACCTTAATTGTATTGATTAAAAGATTGTCTCCATTATAATCAGTGTGAAAAGTTTTCTAGCAGGGCAATTTCCTGATTCGTGTAAAGTAATCGAATATTTCACTATAATTACCATGTACAGCAAATACTTTTAAAAACCAAAACAGTAAGCAAGGCGACAAGAAAAGTGTTATCGTTTGTGAAAATCGTGTTTCTATTTGTAGTGATCTGTAGTGTGTATCTGTAGTGTGTATCTGTTATTGGAAAAAGATAAAGGGTGAAATAATCTAATACGATAAAATAACAAAGAAAAAATCAAGGTACTGAAGTACTGAACATGCATCGGATGACCGCAAGTTCTGGTTGATGGTCACAAGCACTTATCTCAGAAAAAAAATCACATCTCTATACCTGAAAGTGAGGTTAAGGTACATAGATATATTTTTTTCTGAGTGGGTGATGAATAAATGACAGGGAATTCAACCTCACCGTAATAAACTATTATATTGAAGTGATATAATCATTTGTTATCAGTATACTCTGGTTTATTGTTTATATATTTAATATTAATATTTGTTTAACAGTTATATATAATTTTCATCCATTTGTATATCATTCTATTCTACTATTATAATGATAGTGCAGTGCAAGTGTATGGGGGACACTCTTCTGTAATAATTCGTTTTTCTAATAGATTGGATTTGAGTAGGCATTCATATTTTCCCGCGTTTGTTGCAAAACTTTCTTGAGATATTCTTCCACATGGTTAACACAAATTTCGGTATTCTTGATTTGTTATTGATATATATAGTTCTCACGACAAAACATTTTCATATCATTTATCTATGTTCTTAAAAAAAATTTCATGAATATTTATTGATAAAATTAATATATAACAACCGATAAGGAATGTTATTTTGCACTCGATGATATCCGCCTAATTATACGAAATACGTTCGGTTATCTGATTTAGTCAAAAACGAATGTCACGTGGGTAGAAATGTCTGTGGCAACAATAGACCGGTCTGCACTCACGGTCATCTGCTGTAAAAAGTGTCAAGGAAAATTACATTTAGACACCACTGTGGCCAATAACATGGACACTTCAGTGCAGAAATGTAACATGCGATGTGATTTGATTTCAGAAACATGTGGAAATTCAGAAGTTGACCTAAAATGTCCTATTTGGACAAAATACCCCAAAAAGACAGTTAAAAGTTAGACACATTAAAAATATTAAATGAAATATCTTGTAACCAAATATTTCTTTCAGATAGACATTGGCTTAAATCTAAATTATAATGACAAGATCTTTAAAATAGATTGATTTTGGCTGTTTTCTTTCAGATTTTACATTACATGCAAGAATTTTCAATCTCTAATTCAAAAACGTTCGACAAAGTTCGAAAATATAAATAATGACATCGGACAGCTGATATTTTATAATCATCTGAAGGATTTTATTGCAATTGATAGATTTGTATAGGTATACATGGTAGCATTTTGATGTTATGTTGAATCTTTTAATGTTCTCATTATTTGAAAGTTTTGGATTTCCGGTATTTAGTGCAACCAACTAAAAATATATATTCGAAATGCTCGTATGTTAAATTAAATTCGCTATCATTTGATACGTGTAGTATATAAGTGTTCTTATAGATATACAACATTGGGTAAATGTTGGGAAAATATTTTTTTTTTGTATGGTTTAGGACGCGGTTTCTAGATCCCTTCAATAGTTGCATTTCTGATACAATCATTCTGATATTTTTATGCAAATGACATTATACTGGAGCTTAAAAGGCTACAATATTAGCTATTAACATCTTAAGGATGTACTCAGGTGAAATTAAAAAAAATCTAGAATTTGAAATTGATATTATAAGTCAGAAGGAACAAAATAAGATAAAAATATTGTAAGTTATGGAACTCCTTTTTGAGATATTTGATTTTTTTAAAATGGCGGGAAAAAGCTGACTCGGACTTTTATCTTATATTTAGCATTGGCATTATTTGGGGCTCAAATCGTAAGAAAAGAAAGTCTAATATGAAAAGAAAAGTGGGTGTTATGGGGCAAAATATTTTACCCTATTTCGTAGGAAAAAACCTAAGGAGTCCGAACATTTGACAAAAAAAACCTATACATCCTTAACACAGAAATATAACTTTATATGTTCGGTACAGACACATGAAGTAGTATTATATATAACAAACAGGAGATATGGTATGATTGCAAATGAGACAACTATCCAGCAGAGTTGAAATGAAGTGATAGAAAGCAATCACCGTACGGCCTTCAACGATGAGAAAAAAACATACCGTATAGTCGGCTATAAACGGCCCCGACATAAAAATATGTGAAACAATTCAAACGAGAAAACTAACATTCTTTTTTACAACAAAACAATTTACGAAAAACAAATATACATATTTCAGTGCAGACACAGGTGGACTAGTAGATAGAAATGTATGGTACCAGGACATGTGGACTAGTATGTACATATGTACGCGCACAGGCACATATTATTAGTTACACAGTTTGCTAGTGACCTAATACGATATATATGGGGTCAGTAAATTCCATATGGGGTTCGAGCGAGAGCGTATATACATTTACACACTACTATCTTAACATGTGGCATTTAGACTAGGGGCCTATCAAAGTGATGAAGTCTTTAAAATAAAAAAAAACCTACTTCCATTGGTCTATACAAAATTAAATGTCAATAATAATATACATGCACACGTAAAGTAGTAACGTTTACGTCATATGGTCTCTGGTGGAGAGTTGTTTCATTAGCAATTATACCACATCTTCTTATTTTTATATAGTATATACATATGTACGGTACAGACACATGTAGACTAGTAACTTTTACGTCATATGGTCTCTGATGGAGAGTTGTCTCATTGGCAATTATAACACATCTTCTTATTTCTATATAGTATATACATATGTACGGTACAGACACATGTAGACTAGTATCTTTTACGTCATATGGTCTCTGATGGAGAGTTGTCTCATTGGCAATTATAACACATCTTCTTATTTTTATATAGTATATACATATGTACGGTACAGACACATGTAGACTAGTAACTTTTACGTCATATGGTCTCTGATGGAGAGTTGTCTCATTGGCAATTATAACACATCTTCTTATTTTTATAAAGTATATACATATTTACGGTACAAGTTATGCCTGTATACAGATATGTATGCGTTTTGATATTATTTGAATCTCGGCTACTGCAAGACAACCAAATTCATGTGGAACTGAACTAGTTGGTTCTCTCTCTTGCAACATACGGGTATCTGATTCACCCCTGTTAGGAGAACCACAAATGACAGGGAACCAGTATAGGAAACTACACATTTTTATCTATGACCAGATGTCAAACATCAAGATTAAAGCTTTTTGAGGCTGTATACATTCATGTGTCAAAAGTTTCGCCCCTTTTTCGCCATTTGTGCAGAGATTATTTATTACATTATGTTTGCATAGCATATTTGTACCATGGACTTACTTTGATAATCCACATTTTCTAAATTTTGTTTACAAAAGCGAAAGTAAACCTTTGTTTACAAAACAATGAGCGCATATTGATATTTAATTTCACTTAAAAGTAACATTGGTTCATTAAACAAATTGAAAGAACAAAAAATAAATGCATCTAATTGGGTAATGATAATGAAATATTATGATTAACGATTCTAAATGCAAACGTTGTTGAAGTGCAGTGATATCAACACATACGAAATCTATTAAAGTGCAATTTGTGATCGGTGTTTGCTTAATTTTATTTTTGTATCGAACGTACCGTAATTACTATGCTTGGTTTATTTTTGTAAACAAATTAAACAAATGATTTATGATTACCGGTATATATCATCACGAAATGCAATGAACAAGAGGCCCATAGAGAATGTATTATATTTAGCCTCATTATAGACTCTCTACTTGTTGTATGAACAAAATGAAATATGGGCCATACGTCCGTGAGACAGTAACCGACCGACAAAACATACAAAAAAGACAACTGGATGTCAACTTAAAAGTCTTAAGTAGTAGACAAGGAGCTGTGCAGTTTGCCATATCAAAATTGTAAAGACAAACTGAGGATATAATTATTTGCAGAAACTATCAAAACGTTGCCAGTAAAACCAGGAAAATATAATTCTCTAAAACCCAAAACATGGAGGTATGATTCGGTAGCCTACTGACGACATTCCTGAATTGGAATAGTAACATGAACATATAAAGATGCTAATCTATAGCTTTAAGTCATATTCTACCTTTTTAATCTCGATTTGTGGAATAATAAAAGTTACATGTAAGAATGTACAATAAAAATCAGTTCAGACATAAACCATTACACTATAGTCATGATAGTATGGGTATATAAGACAATAATAATTTAATAGTCGTGTGTGTTGTCTTATTGCAACAAAGCTCGATACAAACTAAACAATAATATTTCTTGGTATTTTAAAGTACAGACAAAAAAAATACTATCGTGTGTGCAAATCATTTCGCAATGTTGTACAACCCACAATTTAGGGTTAAGTAATAACATTACTGGCGTGTAGGAAGCGGCACAGGTGTCAATTGTGGATTTGACGGGAGCAAATTAATATATAATTGCGACAAGTAGCGACGCCATGCAGTAAAACAGACATTTCCGACCGTCAAACAAAGTTGGTGCCGTTATCACTTCCCACTCAATAATTAAATAAAACAATTGAAATATCCTGGTTCGATTACGCATGTTGTTAACTTTGTCTACGACCGACAACCTTGAAATTGACAACAAACATGATACAATCAAAAGTATAGTCGCATTTGAATTATCATGTCCGAATTTTGGCATAATATACTTTTATATTTTGTAAAGAAGGTTTGTGATTGGTCAGTTCTTATTCAGTATGGTGTTTTTATAATGTATGATATCACTGTACATAAATGCGTAAAGAAAATATTTTTCTAGGCGCAGTTTTTTCCTAAAGTTTGGATATCCATGTGACAATAATAATTCCGTTGTATCAGAATAGCAATCCCTCAACTAAAAACCACTACGCTTACTTTGCTGTGTTTTTCTTCTGACCAAACGGTCTTCAACGGGTTTTTATAATCTATAATATTTGCCTAGAAAAGTAATTGGAAACAAAATAATTATATTTACAAAAATGGATTATAAAATGCCTATCCCATAATCCGTTTTATGTGCTTTCACCGTCACTGAAGACCACAATATGATTTGTTTTGTCTATTTTCAGATAAGTGTCATGCGCATAATTGACCATGTTAAGGTGAGAAATTTAGGGTACAAGACAAGATTATTAAAAGGTTTGATCGCCGTCGTGGGGAATTTGTGGAAATATTAGTTAAATACATGTATGTGATTAAGAATCAAGCCCATTTGCATCACCTCCATCGGGACTATCTTTGAGGCCTATGCTGCCTGTCAATCTATGAGCTACAAATGTTAATAATACTTCATTGTCCGGACTAAAAGTGAAACAATTCAAACTAGAAGACCAACAGCCTGATAAATGGTAAAACAAAAATGACAAACAGCAACCGGCGACAACTACTAAATCAAATCATCCTGAATTGGAATACGAACATACAATATGTGGTGGGGTTATACACGTGTGTGCGCTCTCAACCGTCCTCTAACATAAAACAGTAGTGTAATAGTAAAACATATGAACAAACTGCATGTAACAAAATAGTTGGAAAGGGCTTGTTGCAGTAGATTGACACGAAGCACACAAACCAACAAAAACAACTCCAAAGCTCACTACAACTTATAAGTAAATCATGGTTTCTAGGCTATAAGTTTAATCAGTTCATATATAACGGATTAAGGTAGCTGGGGTGTCTAAATATTTGACGATAGATTTTTCTTAAATCTCTGTGAAAGACTTCTTGGTTAGTGTACTTTCAAATTTCAAAAGAAAAACTGGGCGTCACAGACCTTGTTTTTTCTTTAAAATACATTGAAATTAACGAAATTGCAGTTATTTTGTATGGGCTATATAGGAGAAACTTTATTTTTCCTAACTGGGGAAACATTGAACGATAGAATTGGTTAACATTCAATGAGATAATTGTTTTTCATGAATACTTCCGAAATATCAAATAAAAATAGGGTGTCACGAGCTATTTTTCTTGAAAAATAAAAAAACACCACACATATTGTCCTATCATATTCAGTATAATTATCCTCCCTAGGTTTTAAAAGGATTTTTTTGAACATTTTAAATAAACTTAACGGCACTTAATTTTCCGATAGTTTAATCTTTAAATTCAAGTTGTAGATGTTTCTGTTATAATATTCAATGATATTTGGTAAAATATTTTTAAGCCAAAAAAGTATTTTTGCAACATGACCAGAAGAGATGCTCAGAAAAAGACACCCGATCTACATTAAATTGGAAAAAATGTCGGAGAATGGAACGGGAAATGTGTCAGAGACAACAACTCGACCAAAGAGCAAAAAACAGCTCAAGGCTTCCAATGAGTCTTCAATACAGCGAGAAGCGGAGGCGGGCTTTAGCTGGCCCCTAAACATAATGTATATCTAGTTCAGAGAAAATGGACGTCACACTTAACTCCGAAACATATAAATGAGCCAAAATTAAAAAAAAAACATTCATGACTAACAAAGGCCAGAGGTTCCTGACTAGGGACAGGCGCAAAAATGCGGCGGGGTTAAACATGTTTTGTGATATCTCAAACCTCCCCCTATACCTCGCAATAAAACTCGGATTAAAAGAAGTCTGAAGCCGATGCAAATTGGTACTTCTAATGATCAAAACATATCCATACCAAAGCTTAACAATGTATTCTGCGTTTTCCTGTTGTGTAATGTAATCAAGCATTCAATTAATAGTGTTGCCACAGTAAATTTAATCTGGATTCTGGAAGTTTAAATAACGGAAATGTGTAATACAATTATTAACGTCTCATGTATGATTATTATACAGAAATAATTTTTTCACAGATATTGGTTTAAAAATAAACTTAATAGCAACAACAAAAAACAGCTACATAACTCTTACTGGTCTTTTTCTATATTCTCAATTCTCAGTTTTCATTAACAATTAATTGACCGTGATTGTCGATTTCAAGATATTAATGTATTGATTTGTGTTATTAATTACTCTTATGACTAGTCTAAAACGGATGCAATGCTGTGAAATCAACACTCTATCAATGTAAATTAGACAGGATGAAACCAGCAATAATCTCATTTCAAAAACGTAAACAAATTTTATAAGAACATCAAGTATTATCAAATTAATTTAAAAGGTAATTGTAATGCATTATTTAAATATGATACTGTACTTCTGTCGATAATATTATTTACTTTCCTTTTGTTGTCACAATAAAGGCGGATATTTCAGCATTTTCAAGTTCAAGCTAGATATCGCTTGAATCGTTTTATTGCAGATGCATACAAGGAATGTCAACACATTTATTGAACATTACAAAATGTATTATAACTTCAGACCTGGTTGATTTCTCTTTCAACATTCCATAAAGAAAACTAACAAAAAAAAAGAAATTACAGTCTCCAATCTCATAACCTTTTCTCCTTGTAAAATACTTTCGATACCGTAAGCTTCACTTCAAATACATTCGACCGGGAAGTCCGCTTACGGTATTGAGAATATTGTGTCAGGAAACCAGGAATGTTATCATTGTATATATACTTAAATTGTAATATGGAGAAGACTTCATCAGTATGATTTACTTGTGTCTCATCCATTTTGCTGATATTTAGCAAATGAAATATGTTTAAACTAAACAAACTCGAGCTAATACTCATCTGAGCGGAAAATGAGTTTCCACAGTTTCAGACTTACCAAAATTCGGTCCAGGTTGCCATTGGCTATCAACACTGTATGATGACTGTAATATAGGCAAATTTTAAGTTGGATTTTGTAAACTATCCTCAGTGCCCGACAGTAAGAATCTTGCTAACGGGGCATCGGGTTGTATAAATAAGTAATTTAAAAGTATTTACAACCAAAAAACGAACTCCATGGTTAGTTCTAAAAAGGGAATTTCACAAACGGAACGAATGAAAAACAACTAGAATCCGTAACAACGTTCCATCATAATTGAAACGTTAGATGAAATCACTATATATCCTATCATAAAAAAATCTTTTCTGACAATGGCAGTCCTTTTCCGTCCTTTTTCTCAATCGAAGAGTTTGATGTAATACTCTCGTCACATTTATTTACCCCTCGAGATGTTCATTTGACTTCCCAAGGACCTCATCAGTGCTTGCCTTTTTGTTGTTGTTGTGTAAGACTAGGGGTGAAGGATCGCGACATATTGTTTAGACACGTCATTGAAGATCGTATGTTGACAGCTAAATATATTTGTCATTTGGTTATTTGTATCGTTGGTTTGCTGTCTCGTTTACGTTTACCCAAAAAAATCCTTCAATTTGTACTAAAAAAATAATTCAAACAATTCACGAAAATGGGAACATTGGGCACGTAGATTTTTCTTTTAACGCATAGTTTGGAATCTGATACATTCTCCTAAATGACCTCCATACTTGCATTATACACTTTTACCTATTTTTCATTACAGGCAGAGGGAAAGATTTCAACTATTTGTTACAAAAAATATTGTATTGTTAAAAATCCTGGGTGGAACAATGGAGAGGGGATTACAGAATGTAAAATAGTTGGCGAGAAAAAAAATACAGAAGAATGGCCTAGAAAAATTAAAAAAATACAGAAATGAAGACACCCTCCGTACATCCTATGTGATTTTACATGAATTCATATTTAAAGTATGAAACCTCTTACGCATTTATTGTGGATGTACTTCAAATTTCTACCTCATCGTGTGTATTTTCGTGTGTAAGTAAATAATACTGCTTCGATCCCAAAACACTGTGTTACACATGCAGCTTACAAAACTAAAAAGACGTTTTAAAACTCTTTTTATAACTTTATATCGTAGATATTAAAATGTATAGAGGTACTAACATATATCATTTGATAAAAACCATGAATAACTTTTAGTAAGATAAGAAAATACAAGTTCATATACATGAATATATAAAAGGATTTAAACAAGATCATTATAAAAATTAAAAATCTATAGAATGAAATGATTTACTAAAACGTAAAAAATGACCTATCAAGCAGAATGAGTTGTAGATACTAGTATTTCATATCTTTTGGATAGTTTTGCAGTGTGTTTCGTAAATTATGCAAAGCTTTTTTTTTGAAACCCCCAAGAAAACTGAAAATTATTAATCAAACTTATACAGACAAGTAGCTAAAAATAAATCGACATGTAAAATGATCGACATATTTTTTGTTGAAACGGCAGTCTAAAATTATTTAATAGAAATACTTTTTCCTTCGCTTGATTCCCTACAAAACACAACGTTATCCTTAGAAGTAGCAAAACAATTTAACATACAACTGCGAGGTAAGACAAAATGACCTAAGCAGTAGTATCAAAATTGCATAAAAAACAACAACACAAAAGAAGAAAATGTTGAACCGCTTATCTTCTTTACTTGAAAAAAAACAAATGTATACATGTACACTTTATTTTACATTAATATTCAATTAGATTTTGTAGGCACAAAACAGTATACCTGAGCTTTAAAATTTGATTCATTTTTCTTATTGTGGATGACAATGACTGACGCTAATTTGATTCCAACGTGCGGCGTACAGAATTATAAGCCTGACATCTCTGATGATTTTTTTTTGTAAAAATTTGAAACTATGGCAACCATGGCAACTGTATTTGATACTAGCATTTCCCTTGCCTCAATTATAACAGATCGACACTTCAATGCAAATTAAAACTAAAGTGATTATAATGAATATATTATAGTTCATATTCAAAAAGGATTTAGGCACTGTTATGGAAATTGTGAGCACAGTTTTAAACATAATTTCTAAATGTTAAATACAAAAATGACAAAGCTTAGACCTTTCGAGAGGGTACAAAGCAGCTACAGATACATAATCAAACAACTTTACTACGATTGCATAGATGTAAACAACATCAATGTACGTCATGTGACTGAGTCTTTACTTTTAATGAGAGTCACATTATCCCAGTCTACTGTATTTCCCAACCACGTGTTGACAGTTTGGACACGTGTGTGTAACGTCTTTGCAGGCATCAACACAAAATGGAATAAAACAACAAATCCAAAATCTACAAAAGAAGAGAAAAGGTCAGACATATCAATTGTGTATTTCAAATTCATAAAAGTTCATGCTTGTCAGACCTCAGTTTAGCGGTAATATGATTATATTTGGATAGGAAACATTGATTTATCTTTTTTCGGCACATTCATTGATTATGTATAGAGATACTATTCTCAAAAATGGAAAGCTATTGGTCATGGGTGGATGCATAAGGTCCCTGAGGACAACTTCAACGTGTACAATGTAGGTTCTTTAATTTATTTAGGCCATTGTTCTCTATTTTTTATACTTCTTGCCCATTATTCTCTAATCTTTATAATTTAGCATCTTATTATTTTCTATTCTTAATTTTTTTTGGTCCATTTTTCTCTATTCTTTATATTTTTTGCCGATTGTTCTCTATTCTGTAAACCCCCATCCTCGTACAGAAGTCGCTCATTGGGTCAATCTAAAACAACCGTTTGTCGCTCATTGGTTCAATCAGAAACAACTGTTTGTCGCTCATTGATTCAATCAGAAACAACCATTTGTCACTCATTGGTTCAATCTAAAACAACCGTTTGTCGCATATTGGTTCAATCAGAAACAACTGTTTGTCGCTCATTGATTCAATCAGAAACAACCATTTGTCGCTCATTGGTTCAAACAGAAACAACCGTTTGTCGCTCATTGAAACAATCAGAAACAACCGTTTGTCGTTTATTTGTTCAATTAGAAACAACCGTTTGTCGTTCATTGGTTCAATCAGAAACAACCGTTTGTCGCTCATTGTTCCAATCAGAAACAACCGTTTGTCGCTCATTGCTTCAATCAGAAATTACCGTTTGTCGTTCATTGGTTCAATAAGAAATTACCGTTTGTGGCTCATTGGTCCAAACAAAAGAACCGTTTGTGGCTCATTGTTTCAATCAGAAACAATCGTTTGACGCTCATTGGTTCAATCAAAAAGCAACCGTTTGTCGCTCATTGGTTCAACAGAAACATCCGTTTGTCGCTCATTTGTTCCATCGATCAGAAACAACCGTTTGTGTTTTTATATTAGCCCAATCAGAAACAACCGTTTGTGGTTCATTGTTTCAATCAGAAATTATCGTTTGTCGTTCATTGGTTAGTCAGAAAATACAGTTTGTGGTTCATTGTTTCATTCAGAAACAACCGTTTTTCGCTCATTGGTTCAATCAGAAACAACATTTTGTCGCTCATTGGTTCAATCAGAAACAACCGTTTGTCGCTCATTTGATCAATCAGAAATTACCGTTTGTGGCTCATTGGTTCAATCAGAAACACACGTTTGTCGCTCATTGGTTCAATTAGAAATTACCGTTTGTGGTTCATTGGTTCAATAAGAAACAACCGTTTGTCGCTCATTGTTTCAATCAGAAACAGCCGATTGTCGCTCATTGGTTCAATCAGAAACACCGTTTGTCGCTCATTGATTTAATCAAAAACAACCGTTTGTCGCTCATTGTTTCAATCAGAAACAACCGTTTGTCGATCATTGGTTGAATCAGAAACAACCGTTTGTCGCTCATTGTTTCAATCAGAAACAACCGTTTGTCGCTCATTGGTTCAATCAGAAACAACAATTTGTCGCTCATTGGTTCAATAAAAAACAACCGTTTGTCGCTAATTGGTTCAACAGAAACAACCGTTCGACGCTCATTGGTTCAATCAATCAGAAACAACCGTTTGTCGCTTATTGGTTCAATATGATACAACCGTTTGTCATTCCTTGGTTCAATCAGACACAACCGTTTGTGCCTCATTGGTTCAATCAAAAACAACCGTTTGTGACTCAATGGTTCAATCAGAAACAACCCTTTTTTGTCACCTATTGGTTCAATCAAATACAACCGTTTGTGCCTCATTGGTTCAAATAAAAACAACCGTTTGTACCTCATTGGTTCAATCAGAAACAACCGTTTGTCGCTGATTGGTTCAATCAGAATCAACCGTTTGTCGTTCATTGGTTCAATCAGAAACAACCGTTTGTCGCTCATTGGTTCAATCAGAAACAGCCGTTTGTTGCTCATTGGTTCAATCAGAAACAACCGTTTGCCGCTCATTTGTTCAATTATAAACAACCGTTTGTCGCACATTTGTTCAATCAGAAACAACCGTTTGTCGCTCATTGTTCAATCGGAAACAACCGTTTATCTCATAGTAAAATGCAGTAAATTTAATTCGTGCCACTGAAGAGCTATTTCAATATACTTCCGCGGTTGTAAAATGATTTCTCTTGCGTTCATTGTATTAATAAGGCATTATAGAAAGGAAGATTCCCCTTGGGTAACAGTAAAAAGGTGCCACTGAAGAGCTATTTCAATATTTATTCGCGGTTGTGAAGTGAATTCCCTCGCGCATCATTGTTTAAATAAGACATTATGAAAAGGAAGATTCCCCTTGGGCAACAGTGAAAAATTGCCACTGAGATTTTTTAATTATCATCCGCGGTTGTAAAGTGAATTCCCTCGCGCATCATTGTATTAATAAGGCATTATGGAAAGGAATATTCCCCTTAGGCAACAGTAAATACGTGCAACTGGAGAGTTATTTCAATATTCATCCGCAGTTGACAATGGTTCCCTTGGGGAACTTTTGCCTTCAAGGAATACGTCAGAGTAACGAACTGTCTCGTGTACATGGTTATCATTGTATTGCATCAACAAGGAGATGATAATATAATAACATTACCTGCACATTGTGCTCGTTGACTTTCGAAAGAGAGCAATTTCATAACAGGGCAACCAAAACATCTGTTTTAATACAATGAACCTGATCAAATATTCCCGTAATTAACAAATGTAAAGCTCCTTAATTGTCTTGTAGTATTACTCAAATATACATTCTTAACGTATTAATACACTTAATGAAAAAGTCGCAATATTACTGATCATTATATGCTGATTGGTAAAGGGGAAACAACTCAAACTCGATATAACCGTTCGTAATATGTATCATTCTAGTGCGGCCTACAAACATTATTATTTCTGTAAGCAAACTCGAAAATAAAAAAAAAACTCTAAATAACACTGATGTAGGAGCCGTGGATATATTGTGTTCATTTCCTTTTTGAAAATGACCAGCCCTAGTTCTTTTGCAATATTTTTGAAGATTAATGTCATCTCATCAATTTAATAAAAGAACTGAGTTCCAATCACTGTCACCCACGTTGCACATATTTTATCTATCCAAGGTACAAGGGCAATAACTAACACTTTTTTTTATTCTTTAAAACTTTAAATAAATATCTTAGAGAAATGAAGGCTTCAGAGCAAATGCAATGCAATTTCCGTTATAGTTAATATTTCCAATGGGTATAACTCGTTAAAAATATTTGATCAGCACTCATTTTCGAATCTGTCAAAGACATTGCTGATATAAACCTATGATATAAGTTTCATAAAATTCTGGCAAAATTTGTACTCATGAGAGCGCTAACAATGCAATTTTCCATATAATTAATATTTCAAAGGGCCAAAACTCTTTTAAAAATAATTCGGATCTGCACTTATTTTCGAATTTGTAAGACATTGGTGATATAACCATATACAATAAATTTCATAAAATCTGGCCAAAATTGTACACAAGAGAGCGCTAACAATCAAGTTTCTATATAATCAATATTTCCAACTTGTCCGAGACACTGATGATATAAACCTATAATATAAATTTCATAAAAAACTGGCAAGAATTGTACACATAAGAGCACTCATAAGGCAATTTTCCATATAATTAATATTTCCAACAGGGCATAACGCTTTTCAAAATAATTGATCAGCACTGATTTTCGAATTTGTCCGAGAAATTGATGATATAAACCTATGATATAAGTTTCATAAACAATCTGGTGCTGCGCGGGGGACAAAAATAAGAAGATGTGGTATGATATCTAATGAGACAACTTTCCACGGGAGACCAAATGACGTAGATGTTAGCAACTATAGGCCACCGTACGGCCTTCAACAATGAGCAAAACCCATACCGCATAGAAAGCGATAAAAGGCCACGAAATGACAAATGTATATAATTCAAACGAGAAAACTAAACAGCCTGATTCATGTACCAAACAATAAACGGAAAACAAATATAATTATATACAGCAACAAACAACAACCACTGAGTTACATGCTCCTGCACTTTACATGCTCCTGCACTGGGGCAAGCATATACAAAATGTGGCGGGGTTAAACATGTTTGCGGACGCGCCAACCCTCTCCCTAACCTGAAGGACGATAAAAATCAGATAAAAGGGGCTTAAATCGTCAGATCAATACAAAGCACAAAAGTTTAAACAACTTACAAAAACATAAGAGACACAAAGTGCAGATCTGGGGGTATTCGCAGTTACTTAAAGCTAGTTCAAAGTCAATAACAACTAACAAGAAAATCATGTATCTAGGTTTTTTCTATCTTTTCCACTACCACTGTTTGTTGAAAAAATTTATTCTCCATTCACTTCCAATACAACACTTCACAGTTGTACTTGCAATATGGAATGATTGAATAGTATATTACTTGTTAATAGATACGAAAAACGAAATGTTTGTTTACTTTTCATTATATAACATCATCAATTACTTATTTTCTATATTGATATATTGTATAGTTTGTATGACATAATCTCTAATATCACCGCTGCTTTTTTCCCGATGTAAAGGTGAAGTTTCCCAATAATAATAATATAAGTTACACAGGGTGCTAGTGACCTAGTACGATATATACGGGTTCAGTAAGTTTATACATAGGGCTAGAGCGAGCGATATAAACTGAAAAAAACCCACCATATACCAAACTTGTCGTCAACACCCGGAGGACAGTGTAAAAATACGATCCATCCATTGCATGAATATTTTTGGTGCACTTAGTACTACTCAATGGGGTTTACTTTCAAAATATTCACACTATAACTTATAAGCTACTTACTTTAAACAGTATGTACTATACATTTATTTTTTGGATTGACTCTTGAATTGATGATACGTTCTATTAGAAATAAAAAAGTCACTAGAATTTACAATGATTCATTAGATACTGTATAACTATTATAAAATCTAAATAACACAGAAACTGGCCACGTACATTTACGGTACAGGTCGGTTGTATGATGATGCAGATAAATGGAAAACGTCCCCGAGTGAATTCCGTGCTGTATTAGCTGCATATTTTGTTCTATCTCGCTATAGCAATATTTAATAAGGGATATTGTATTCATTGATATATGACATTTTATATCAAAAACTAGGAAAGTAACCCAGGGGATGGTAAAACTACAAAGCATAAATTGAGGCTATTTTATCTGCAAGTTATTTTATATAGACGCATTTTATTTTCACTACTGCATATAACACATCCTTGTGAGGGACTGATGTTTATAGCCCTCACAGTTATCTATCACATTAGAAAGAAAAGAATATCTAGTGGTTTGTTTAGTCGGACATTTGCTGTTAGGCATTTAGATAAAGAGGACATGACATATAATCTTTTGATTAGATCGATGAAGTTGGATTGTGTAGACGGATATCCCCGGTATTTTTAATCCCACGCAGATACAAAATACATGATGCATAACCACACTACAGTATATAATAGTAGTGTATAATAGTAGTATAATGTAAATTGAAATCTATTAGCATGTCCTTGGGCAAAATATTAAACTACATATATGAACATGCATCTCGAAATTTGAAAACATTAATAAATGCAAAAATTGAAGTACTTGATGCGTTTTAACTCTTCGCCCTAAGAGAATGAATGACATTATGGTTTTTTCACAATTTGAAACTTCATGTTAGGAACGGTAAACATGGTAAATGAACATTTAGGATGCGCAACAACCGTCGGTATAAGGTAGCGCCCGATCCCCCCCCCCATCTCTTCAACCACTCGTTTCTTTTCACTAATAATTTGCAGTTACAGATAAAAAAAACTAATAATAAAATTAATTATATCTTGAGCCTTTAAAATCTCTATTCGTATAGCAATAATAAAGGTATTTAACAAATGGTGCGGTTAGTTCCTCGATATGCCTCTCCCACGAACAAGGTAAAAGTATTTTTTGCAACCTTTGCCATTTCTTGTAATTAAGAGGTATGTAAGTATTAAAAGTAGTAAATTTGTTTATTATAGTGACTTATGAACAGGTATCAAAGTTCGTATGTATATAAGGCTTTTAAGTCCTGTGAAATTTTTTGAAAAGCAGCCAACTTCGCTGGGGAATCCCTCAAATTTACCGTTAAATATTCGAACCTATCCTTTTAAACTTTGTATCTACTTAAAAGTAAAAGTAAAATAATCTGAGAGTTTGTATACAATATTCGTACATTGTAGGAACATTTACAGTTTTTTAACAAGCTTTAGAAACAGAGAAAAAAGCGAGTTCAAATAATTTTCTTATTTTCCTACACTGTGCGAATATTGTTTTCATCCTACAATTTAACATTGAGCTTAAACTATAGTTTTTCCCCATCCTAATCGTTGTTGAATGAAATCGACATGTATGGAACGCCATAGCTGTCTTATGTGTCTTTTTTATTGTTTTTCTATTATACGAAGATGCTTTTCTATTATACGATGGTGGTTTTCTATTATACGAAGGAGGTTTTCTATTATACGAAGGTGCTTTTCTATTATACGAGGGTGGTTTTCTATTATACGAAGGTGCTTTTCTATTATACGATGGTGGTTTTCTATTATACGAAGGTGCTTTTCTATTATACTAAGGTGGTTTTCTATTATACGAAGGTGCTTTTCTATTATACGATGGTGGTTTTCTATTATACGAAGGTGCTTTTCTATTATACGATGGTGCTTTTCTATTATACGATGGTGCTTTTGTATTATACGAAGGTGCTTTTCTATTATACGATGGTGCTTTTTTATTATAATAAGGTGCTTTTTTATTATGTGATGGTGGTTCCCGTGATTAACCGGAAGTGTGGAGTTTATTTGAAAAAGGGACGGACCAATTGCTAATGAAATACGAAAAAAAAAAAAATCAAGAAAATCAATTAAGTCTTTAAAATGAAATAGTTAGTTCAACATTTTTTAAGTAGATTTTGTACCGCTTAATGGAGTCAAAAAGCGAGACATAGGTATGCTGTTTCCGGCGGCGTCAACAATGTATTAGTTTGTGATTAGGTCTAGTTTATGGTGAAGCCCTAGTGATAAGTTAAAGATATTTGGTATGCAGTTGTATTAGTATTGACATATCTCATTACCATGGAGATTATTGGCCATGCCCCCTCAGTTATGGTCTATTGACTCTGAAATTATTCCTAAGAATCATGTATTAGTTTGTGATTAGGTCAATTATTGGGGAACCAATAGTGGTAAGTTAATGATACTTGGTAAGGAGTTGTATAAGCATTGGCATATCTTATTTCCATGGAGATTATTTGGCCCGTCCCCTCAGTCATTGTCTATTGACTGAATTTTTTGTTTAGTTTTTATGGAGCCTGCGACTTTTCACAGAAAGCTCGACATATGGATAGTGATCGGGCGGCGTTAGCTAACTTATTAAAAGCTTTATATTTTAGGTGGAAGACCTGGATTGTTCATACTTTGTATATAGATGCTCAATGATACTTAGTTTCCGTCTGTCACATGGCCTATGTTCTTAACCCAATTTTCATGGTTCAGTGACTGCTTGAAAAAAAGTTATGATTTTTTGTAATGTTAATCTCTCTCTTATTATGAGTAATAGGATAACTTTATTTGGTATGTGCGTACCTTGTAAGGTCCTCATGCCAGTCAGACAGTTTTCACTTGACCTCAACCTCATTTCATGGATCAGTGAACAAGGTTAAGTTTTGGTGGTGAAGTCTTTATCACAGATACTTTAAGCAGTAGGTCCAGTATTTTTGGCGTATGGAATGATTGTAAGGTGTACATGTCCATCTGGCAGGTGTCATCTGACCTTGACCTCATTTTCATGGTTCAGTGGTTATAGTTAAGCTTTTGTGTTTTGGTTATTTTTTCTTATACTATAAGCAATAGGTCAACTATATTTAGTGTATGGAATAATTGTAAGGTGTACATGTATTTCTTGTTTGGTTTATATTACCTTGACCTGATTTTTATACTCATGTTTATGTGATAGTTAGGCTTTCTATTTAGGACTATCAACATATTATCAATGTTTAGTAAAGAAGGCGAGACATTTCAGTGTGTGCACTCTTCTCATGTATTAGTTTGTGATTAGGTCAGTTTATGGGGAACCACTAATGGTAAGTTAATGATAATAGGTATGCAGTTGTATACGCATTGGCATATGCCATTTCCATGGAGATTATTTGGCCCCGCCCCTCATTCATGGTCTATTGACTTTGAATTTTTTGCTTAATTTCAATGTATTTGTTTGTGATTAGGTCAGTTTATGGGGAACCACTAGTGGTAAGTTAATGACAATTGATATGCAGTTGTATAAGCATTGGCATATGTCATTTCCATGGAGATTATTTGGCCCCGCCCCTCAGTCATGGTCTATTGACTTAAACTTTTGCTTAGTTTTCATGCATTAGTTTGTGATTAGGTTGGTTTATCGGGAACCACTAGTGGTAGGTCAATGATATTTGGTATGCAGTTGTCATAACATTTGTTCACCTCATTACCACAAAGATTATTTGACCTTGCTCCCTCAGTTATGGTTTATTGACTTTGAAATTTTGCTTAGTTTACATGTATTAGTTTGTGTTTAATTTTGTTTAAAGGGAATTATGATAAGTCAATGGTATTTGGTATTAGCATTGGCACATCTCATTTCCATGGAGATTGTTTAGCCATGTACCTTCAGCCATGGTTCATTGACTTTGAATATTTGCAAAACTTGCATGTTAAAGTGTTGCTATTTTAATTTCAACATATGCATTATAAAAATTACCAATAAGGGAGACATATCTCTATGATAACAGTTTATTTATTTTAGTAAACCTGACTGGAGGAATTTCAGTAGAAAAAAATCTATTTAATTTGAATTTTCTGTGTTTGATATCTTCATACCATGACTCTAAGTTTTAAAAAGGTATCTGGGGGGGGGGACATGCCCCCCAGACCCTCTTAGAAAATTTCTCGCATTTGGCCCTCAACAGTGATACTACTAAAAAAAACTTTTAAATTAGATAAACACCTCTGCGTTAAAGATGAGCATCACCACACAAGTTGGAGACTGTTCTTAGTGGGTGAACGGTAGAAGATGCCTTGAAATGAAATTTAGCTCAAGTTCAAGATAGGTGATACTCCTATATAGCCAAATTTAATCACTGGAAAGCATTTTCGCAAATATTAGCATTGATTTCATTACATCAAAAATGGTTTTAACCCAAGTCTAATAGTAAAAATAAGTACATTCAGCTACATACTAGTACCTCGGACAGTTTCGAAAAGTACCTGTTCGCTAAAGCTTGCCGACACATTTTTTTTAAAATCAATGGACTTGTGTACTCTCGCAATACTTGTGACACAGTAAAACCTGTCTAAACCGAACCGATTATAGTTAGTTGAAGTGGAGACATATAAAACAAGAGATTGGAAACTCTGAATATTATACAATAGAAAATTGAAGAGATTTCGGTCTGGAACATTTTATGACAAAATGAAGTTTTCATATTATCATGACAATATTTTGAAAATTACTAAATAACAAAGTATTGAGGGCATGTGTTGATTTTTGATACTTCTTTTACAACTTCTGTGATCGGTATATTTAGATATCTTGTTAAGTTTTTGAAAAATTAAGGAATATTTCTGAAAACTTAACTACTTTCTTTCTCTATATATGACTCTTATACATGTTATATTCTTATCCACGCATGTGGCTGCGATATTTCTCGAGATTTCACAAAGTTGCTTATCTCTAGTATTATATGTCTCTGGTTCAAGTACTTTTTAATTTGGCAAATTGTAAGACCAATGACTTAATATTCAGGACACAATTAATGATTTTCAGTTCAAACACAAACATTTAAATATTTGTTCATTATCGGCCAAATTCTTTAAATGCATGTAAAAGTCACAGTTACATAAGTTTTCATTTAAAGCATTACCGAAGAATTTCATTTAGCTGAACCATGTAGCCAACCTTTATATATAAAAAATAAAGATAAAACAAGGAATGGCAATAATTCGATATAAAACATCAAAAATAGAGACATACAGCGACAACACAAAAAGGAAAATGTACAGAAGGTAGAGAGAAGTCCCGACTTGGTACAGGCACTCTGTCAAAACTTGGCAGAGTGGTGGGGTTGAACCATGTTTATGGGTACACTAACCTTGCCCCTCAATCTACTCGACTTCCTATCAAGATTCGAAAGACGCGCAGCAAAAAGACTTGCACAATACAATTGCCAACTCAGCGTCCATATAAGTTAGAAAATTTGTTTATAATAAATACTAAAATAGTAAGAGGATATACAGATCTGTACATTGTACATGTACTACCTCTACACAAAATAATACAGTTACATATAACCAATATACCACTGTAAAGCTTGAAGTTGTTGAAAAGTCATGGGGTTTTATAAGATTAAGTATATAAAGAAGTTATGCAGTTATTCATTTACGTTCAAGATATGAAGGAAATTTAGTAAATTACAAATAAGTTTTAATAACCAGTTTAGTTATTTCTTTCAATGACTTCCAAACATTCAAGATAATAATCTATTCCAAAGTTAGTATTGCTTCTTATCAATTGTCGAGTTGAATCCAGCCTGCATTGATCACTTATCATGCGTGCAAGGGGTCCAAATATTAGTCTCTCGCCCTCTTCTACATCATTTTGATCCACATAGCCTTCAATTCCATAATCTTGCAAATTTGCTTCTCCTTCGGTAATTCCTACGGCATTTTGAAGTTGACCTGAAGTTCACAAGCTCAATGGAGATGAATTAACAGTGCGTAGTCTATGACCAGCCCATGCCTCTGCCAAAAATTGAAGCTTCCTGTTTAGTTCGTCCATGAAAACAAAGTGGAGAGCAGCTAAGTTTGTCAGTTTTAGTGGGTCTAGATAACCTTCATCTTCCATGAAATAAAATAAGTTGTAAAAGTAACTAAGCACACCTTCATACACATCTCTCCATAGTCTCTCAATCCGTTGATTATGAGTGCTTTTTCCCGTTACCATACTGTTGGGCCTTTTTGAATCAACATGTAGTTTGCCACAGAAACATTTTCCAATCCTTTGTCAGACCTAACTTTATTGGGTATCCCATACTTTGCATCACCGGAGAAGAAACAATCCAAAACTGTTCTTGATGTGTTGTTGTCGGTACATTTTAAAAATGTTATCAATCGACTAAACCCGTCAATGCCACCTACAATAACAAATCTCCACCGGACAAGTTTATGATTTGTATCTATGTGCCAGAGGTGATTTGGACCAATTACATTGTAAACACGCCTATTAAGCCTACCAGTACGTCTCGCCTGTACACCGGCGGTATCTAATCGATGCATACACTCCCTAGTCTCCATCTCTGTACTCTTATGCCTTTTAATAGAAGCATCTGTTGCAATAGTGTTTCGCCACACAATGGAAACTCTTTCATTATTTGTCCAAGTGTCAAGTCTAAATCACTGTCATCAATTTGTGTAAAATTCATTTTGCTTAATCCAAACTGTGACATTCTTCGGTAAATGGTGCTTTCAGACACGGACAACAATTTAGAAATGTCGGATATTTTAAATCCATTTTCAAGAACAGACTTTGGAATATCAAATTTCGGAGGGCCGCATTCAGAGTTTATTTTATTAGGGGCAGACGTTCCATATTTTACACATTCAGTTCTTAACTTCATCATATCTGCCCTACTAGATACACCTAATATTTCAATTTCATGTGTCGAAAGCCTACATACAATGTCTGGAGTGATTTTCTCTCTCTCAAAGTTTAGAAATGCTTGCTGCAAGTTTAATTTCTGTAAAACGTTTAACATTTTAGTATTCACAGCCATGGCCGCCATGTTGGTTCGGTGACATTCAAATATACGCCACGCTTCCGGTTAATCACGGAAACCCCCATCACATAATAAAAAAGCACCTTATTATAATAAAAAAGCACCATCGTATAATAGAAAAGCACCATCGTATAATAGAAAAGCACCATCGTATAATAGAAAACCACCTTCGTATAATAGAAAACCACCATCGTATAAAAGAAAAGCACCTTCGTATAATAGAAAACCACCATCGTATAATAGAAAACCACCATCGTATAATAGAAAAGCACCTTCGTATAATAGAAAACTACCTTCGTATAATAGAAAAGCACCTTCGTATAATAGAAAACCACCATCGTATAATAGAAAAGCACCTTCGTATAATAGAAAAGCACATTCGTATAATAGAAAACCACCATCGTATAATAGAAAAGCACCTTCGTATAATAGAAAAGCAATAAAAAAGACACACAAGACAGCTATGACATTCAAATACACGCCACGCTTCCGGTTAATCACGGAAACCACCATCACATAATAAAAAAGCACCTTATTATAATAAAAAAGCACCATCGTATAATAGAAAAGCACCATCGTATAATAGAAAAGCACCATCGTATAATAGAAAAGCATCTTCGTATAATAGAAAACCACCTTCGTATTATAGAAAACCACCATCGTATAAAAGAAAAGCACCTTCGTATAATAGAAAAGCACCTTCGTATAATAGAAAACCACCATCGTATAATAGAAAAGCACCTTCGTATAATAGAAAACTACCTTCGTATAATAGAAAAGCACCTTCGTATTATAGAAAACCACCATCGTATAATAGAAAAGCACCTTCGTATAATAGAAAAGCACCTTCGTATAATAGAAAACCACTATCGTATAATAGAAAAGCACCTTCGTATAATAGAAAAGCAATAAAAAAGACACATAAGACAGCTATGGCGTTCCATAGACATGCATGACTTAAACGCGGACCGCAATGAGGACCCCGAATTAAACTGTTATAATTCAGTGAACATAACCGTTCGCTCACAACAGAAGCACGATGCAAGGAGATTATAGACGTCTAGTATACGTTTATTCGTGAATGTTATCTGTATAGTAAAAAGGCCGATTGAAGGATAAAAAGTGCTAAAATTCCATAGCCACTGTAATTTGGAAATGATTGTTACTTAGATGTTTGTCATATTTCTAACAGCCTATGTAACGGAGCAAAAAATGATCCAATAAAGAAGGAAACCTGTTAAATGTATACAGAGAATAGTGATTACCATATGATTATCTTTTTATATTGAATGAGCGTTTGTTTAGCTAAAGTTTACATCTTCATGTCTTATCTTGTGTTGAAACAGTTTTTTAAAAAAAAAAACCTGAAATTGTATTAGTGCATTTACGTTTAGGAAACCCACACTTATCCATTGGCTCTTTAAATAAAATTTAATAATGAATTAAATTATCAAACGTTCCTCTGTGAAAGTAATATTCCGGGTTAGGGCAGCCAGACAAACCTCGATATGATCCGTTTGGTTATGGCAGATGTGCAAGTACGATTTCATGACGATCTGGTCTGAATTTTAAGAGTCAAAATCCAATACCCACCATTTTGTATATTATAAGTCTCATCAGCGGCGCTCGAATCAAAACAGTTAGAAAGCCAAATCAAGTTAAAAGTTGAATCTCATCAGCGGTGCTAGCTGGAATCAAAAAAGTTGGAAAGCCAGCTCAAGTTAAAAGCTTAATGACATTGAAAACCAAAATTCCAAAATATTGTGCCAAATACGACTAAGATCATCTTTGGTCTTCGAATAATTCATCATTTTATAAACAGTAAAATTGCAAAAACATGTATGACAGTATCAATGACATTTCATGTCAACACAGAATTGGTGACTATAATGGGTATAGAATAAAGTTTCGCGCTTATTTGCATCTTCAGACTGGAAAGAATGAAAACAAGATCAAAATTCCAAATAAGGCAAAGATTTTTACACTACCTACATGACCTTATACCCTCGTATTTCAATGGGCGGTAAAAAATTAACTGAGTGAGATGTTGGTAGCACGTACCTGAACATATTGTTTAAGGGAGACCATGTCCTCATATTTTCTCCCTTTCTTACCAACTTCCCCAAGTATATTTAAACAAGGAGGTTGTATGAGTTGGTGGTATACTGAAATTACCGTGTCCGTCTGTCCGTCTATATAACCTTGATTTAAAGAACAAACTGGTATTTTGAATGGACACCTGTTTATATCGTGTCAAAATTAATTTTCCAAATATATATATGTCACTGGATGTTCAGTATTTCCCACATTTTACAAAGGGTTTTCTCCGTGAAATGAGCATGCTTCAAATATTTATCCCTGGACCTCACGTTATCAACAACCAATAAATTTATCAATCTATTTTCTGCTGTTAGGAATGGAAGAATAACTTCACAGCTGGTTTTAAAAATGTTTCCTTATATATTTATAATTAAAATACAATTAAAGTCATGTCATTTCTCTACCGAAACATTAAACAAGTAACAGTAACAATTTTCCGAAAGAGTGACTTGGGCATGTTTCGTATACAAATTTATAAATTCTCCCCTTTGCATTAAGGTGGCGCGGTAGTATTTCCTGGTCCATAGGGATAATGATGGCTTTTTTAGAATTTTCACCACTTTCTAACACTGTCCAAAATTCTACATACACAGTTAACTGAAGTACTTTCATTATAATATTCAGAAATGAATTTGAATATGTATCATGACCGTTTACTTGTTTTGCTATCTTTAAAAACCTAAGGCCACTTGTGCTTTTATGTCTTTTATCATGCAGTGAATACAAAATTTAAAAAAATTCTCAAAACTTCATTTTCACCTGTATGTAAAATTATTTCATATTTTTCTACACCTGATTCATCCCTCAGTTTGGGAAAGTATGTCCAATTGATACTGTATTTTTTGTCAAATCACATTGTTCAGATACATTGACTAAAGTAGGGTACACAAAAGAGCAACCTAAATTCCGGAATGCAAATACTACCGCGCCACCTTAAAACCCATGCTCAGTTGGCGTTAAGCGTTGTGGGATGCATAAATACGCAGTCACGCGGGATTAAAAAAAACACATAAAATTGTAACTCTGATCTTAATCCTTCACTGTGTCAATCAATTATCTTCAATTAACGACAAGTGTATGCATACTTCACATCTTAAATACAAAAAACAAAGCCACAAATTATAAATGACCTATATTTGCTTATATCTTCGTCATTGTAGATAGTTGTCTGACTGGCAATCCTGTCATATGTTATGTTTATATTAGGAGGAAATATATACACGACTGTTTGATAATCCATGTACCAAATATGAAACCAGATACACAGATCTACCACGCCTAAATAATGATTCAATAAACTTGTCACCATAAAATGTATGTTCATACTTGATATTTATTCATAATTTTGAATGATTGGTTAATAGTGTGCAGTCCAGTGGCAAATATTACTTGCATATTCGAGACGTAAGCCGAAACGATACCAGTTTTGTTAGTGAAAGAATGGCTAGATTTTTAGGTATCGTATAAGAGGGTCCGGATGGTGGACTTTAGGCCGGGTGAGCTAAAAAGTATATGATTTCCGATGAGGAAAAATATTATATCTTGGCCGCTATTGCATTCAATACTTTGTCCTAGAGCATAGCTTTATATGCATTAGAGAGGTTCCGAGTTAAACGCGATACTTGCACACTAGCACCAATGCTGATAAACAAGATTTCGAAAATGGACAATGAAACCTTACTGTAGGAAAAATCAATAATGCTGAAATATTTAGTACTATATTATAAATTATTGCAATAATATTGAGGAATATAAATGCAATAACCTTATAATATACCACTGTTATCCTAGAGGTCTAAGATTTTGATTAACTGCGTTTATACTTAACAAATTGCAAAAAGGTGCTATCCATTGATTTCTATCAGGTAAATTAAAATAAAAAACAAGTTAAGTTTTCAAAGATTACTTTCAAAAACATTAGAACCGGGTATCTTTGATGAATTTATTTGTAATCAAAAGTAGTAACCCTTATCTATTCAATTGACACAGCTTTTATACATGACAAAGACATTTTCAGTCTTGTACCTTTACTGTAGGAGATAGGCTGAAGCGATATACACAACCGCAATCATTAAGCTATCGCAGTCTTATTATGTAATTTATGTTATTAATGTATTGTCATTAACTTGCATTATTCTTTCAAAATCGGTATTTCGCAAATGATATTGCAGCATAATACAGAAGCTAATTATATGTAACGAAAATTACGAACGGACAGACGGACATGGTATTTTCAGTATACCACCCACTCATTAGATAATAAAGCTGACTTACCCAAATATAAACATAACTCCACAAAGAATCCATGCCAACATTCCAGTATCATAATTCAAAGCGGTGACTATATCTGCTCTACATGCTGGACATTGCATACGGACTGGAGATTCCCTGAACACCTGATTAACAATCATAGGCTGTTGTATTACAACTGTCTGCGTCTGTGGTTGACCTTGTGGGTAACCTTGTTGAGGTTGACCTTGTGGATAACCTTGTTGAACTTGTGGGTACATTGGTTGACCTTGTTGTCCCGGTGGAGGATAACCTTGATAATGAAAACAAAAAAATGATATTCATAAAATTGAGAATGGAAATGGGGAATATGTCAAAGAGACAACAACCCGACCAAAGGGCAGACAACAGCCGAAGACCACCAATGGGTCTTCAATGCAGCGAGAAAATCCCGCACCCGGAGGTGGTCCTCAGCTGGCCCCTAAACAAAATTGTGCATTAGTTCAGTGAAAATGGACGTCACACTAAAATCAAAAACATATAAATGAACTAAAATTAAAAAACATACAAGACTAACAAAGGCCAGATGCCCCTTACTTGGGACAGGCGCAAAAATGCGGCGGGGTTAAACATGTTTTGTGAGATCTCAACCCTCCCCCTATATTGCAGTCCATTTTTACAAGAAAAACAGTTAGTACATTTGTAATGCTAAATGTATAGTGTTTTTTTTTACATCTCAATAAAGACAGTGTGTTATCTAACGGGTAAAGTTAACATGCAGTTTTGACACCGTTGAAGGTCTGTATAATGGATTAATAAAAATACAAAAGTTATGATAATTTAAATCAAGACAAAAAAAATATATAAATCTATTCAATATCATCAATGCAGAATGTGTACTTTGTATCAATAAACACTTACCAAAAGCATTGGGGTTTTTTCAACTTTTTTTCTTGTATTACTAATACCAGACTTCGTAAATAGTGCAGCTGCTGATACCAACATACTCTTTGAAAACTGTTGTGTTGTGCTAATGACGTATTTTGGTAGCAAATTTAATTTTAAAGCACAAAATTAATATGATAGGATTGAGTATTGCTTGCTTAACGTCCAGTGGCAATAAGTGTATGCATATTCAGGTCGAAAAATCTCTTAACAGTTATGTGATAGTCCGGCATCTTAATAGGGAGTAGGAGTAATATGTACACCTTATAGGATTGTCAGCTTTCTTTAGCTGATTTTTAAGTAATTGTTTATATAGATCATGATAGATAGCAGATAGAAAGGGACCGATAACCTGGAACCCCCAATTCCATTCCTCTTTTCTCCCTTAAGGTGGTACCTAACACTACAGGGAGATAACTCTGTAAAAATCAGTTAAACGTTTTAAATACGTTGTATTGTTAAGGAAATATTAAGGTTCTCAATGATCAAAATTAGTGTTTGTCAAACTGCTATATAACCAATGAAATTTTTCTGATAAAATGGTTGGTTCAAATTTTTTGAAATTTTTATATTTTTGTCAAAGGGTCAGAGTAAACGTTTTGTCAAAATTTTATGAAAATTAAACGAGCCAAATTAATATTAGTCAAGGTGTTGGGTACCACCTTAAAGTATCAACTTCTGAAAAAATATATATTCCTTTACTGCAGTGAAAAAGGTGTTCTATCTTATAACACTGTAATAAGGGTGACAAAATAAGGAAATACTACGTTTATCTTTTGAACCATCCATTAACGTAACAAGCAAAGACATGCATGAAACGGGGGCTTAATCCCTAAAAAAGAACAATGTTTTTAAATGTATCCTCATCAAAAACATTTTAAACTATTCAGTCAATTGTCCCAGTTATACACGTCACGTGATCTGAACATTGGGAGATGCGTGTGTATTGCCCTCAAGCTGTCGCATAATGTCATATAAATGTAGAGTTATTATCTTGGTGTGTTTCATTTATTCACTCATGATCGTATCAGAGTAAAAAAGAAAGGTCATAAAAGTGTTTCATTAATATTTTTTCGGGCTGATCACAGATCATCACACGGTGAAAGATCAAAACTTATTTAAATAAAAGTTGAAAGAACTTATAGGGAAAGAATTCTATTTATAAAGAGATGATAACGTGTATTATCATGATTATCGATTTATTGATAACTTTGTATAGATGTTCGACATGATGCCATTTCCCTTGGCGAATAGTCAGCTACAGGTTGATTAACTGTATAAATATATAGCCCAAGTTGTTTAATTGCACGTAATGTTCTTTTTAACACATTTTCTTTTCTCAATAATGCATAGAGTGATGTATATGTTATGAAAACTTGTATCTTTGTAAAAATTAACCAATTTCTTGATACGCTTCAATAAATATTTCACCTACTAATAGAATAGATGAATGTTTGTAGACATCTGTTTCTCATCAAAGTTAGGCATAACGAGCCAGACAATTAAGAATTTATATGTTATAAAATTAATTTGATAATTTACCTGGTTGTCCCTGCTGTGGGTACGGTCCCTGTCCTTGCATTGTGAATCGTTTACGGCCTGCACTGCAGATTTGTTCAATAAATTAACACACACTGTTGATACACAGCCGGCTAACCTACAGTTAAGGTCTGTGGTTGGTAAGTGTAACACGCACGATAGTCGCTACAACATACAGTAGACGAATAATTGGCCGATAAAAAATATCTTAAAGTAAGTAAATTAATTGCTTATACGTGTCTTATAAAGATGGTGTGATTTGACAAGTGAGATAACTTTGAAATATATTTTTATTAAACAATTTAAAATATTTAAATTGAGTTTGCTTCGAATATCAAAACAAATTTTTAAATTTGATAAATGCTTATTTTCCCTACTTACAGAAAATATATATTAGATATTAATAAACGCAATATTTTACAGTGAATTTTAATCTGATTTGCAGCATTTAATAGATTTAGATGCACACGGATAAAAGTAGTCATATTGCCTTCTCAGGGCAATATCGGAGAATAAAAGGATAAATTTTCAAGTTTAATTTAGTTTAAAAATACTTGTTTTCTATAAGTGTCATGTGTGTGGTTAAAAACCTCGAAAGTTGTTTTTATTTGATAACAACAAAAAAATGAAAACTATATTTTATACATTTCATGCGTCCGAAGCGCTTTTCTGGAATTACCTTCATCAGGAACGCTCAAAGCCAAATATTCAAAAGCCAAGGATTTGTAAGAATCGAACCAGTTCAAGAGCTATATGAACAAAACAGACTTAAGATAATAGCTTAATCCATCTAAGGTCAACTTTGATTGATGGAGTTGAAACCTTAGTTTCTTAATAATTCATAAATTTATATACGAACAATTTGAGAAATGTTTGGTATAAATTTGACATAATTCTGGACAAATTTGTGGTGTAAAGCTTTCCTCGGTCTTTTCCTGTTTCCAATCATTTCTATTTTTGATTTTCTCACACTACAAACGGACAGCATTTTTACTGCAATGTAAACGTACAAAACCTATTTAAGCCCTACGACACTTTTGTATTGTCCTTTTCATGATAACATGCACTTTTTTATAAAAACGGCAACATTCTGTTATTCTTGCAAATAATGCAATTGACCTGAAAAAATACATAGAAATAAAGGTACGCTCATGTTGAGTGTACATGGTTCGTATAAATTTCAGTCAACATTTGGTGTCTATCGTCCGTCGTATTTTCTTTGTACGCTAATTAAGAGCATAGTTTAGCGATCGTCCGATGGTAGATGAATCATTAGAAGAATACAATGAGGTATATTTTTTTTCTCCGGTTATCGATAATGGACACCGGAAGTTGCACATAACTGAAAAGTTCGGAAACTTTCTTGAATCTAACTTGACGTGAATGCTTTAATTCTGAAAAACGTACGTTTCCTGAATTTACTATATAATAAACATGTCTTACAAGTGCAGTAAAATTAGTATCGTGAACGTTATTTCTACCACTTGATAGTGCTTGTTGACTGTTATTCTCCGAGGGTATCAAAACCCAAGTAGCCAGTACTTCGGTACTAGCATGCAAATACGGATATTGTCTTATTTTGATTTACTGTTCTAAATTATCGAAATCATTTTAAATTGAAAAATGCATCTCCCGGCAGAGCTCCAGATAAGAATTCACAAATTGGGGTTTTTACCCACCATTTTTTATGTAATTGAGTGAAATAGTTTTTTCAATTGCATTTTTAATTCCAATTCATCGATCCTTCAAGCAAATATCAAATTGGGTTTTTCACCACCAAGCTCCTTAATGTGTTGGTTTTTTTCAACATCAAGATATTGAATTTAGGCATGTTATAATGAAATTATATAGAACTGAGATGTTATATTTCTTTCATTATATATGTGATGGCTATTTCATTTGGTGTATACGCTGATGACCAAATTTTGTTTCAATTGTGTCCGGTTTGTTTCAACTGTTCTGTCAGTTTTGTATTTTCTCTCAACTTATATAAGCTAGTGCCACTAGTGGGACAGTAACTAAATACTTTTCTAGAGCTCATACCATCACCCTTCGGTCTATTTTGGGTAGGTGTGGCTAAGTTTTAGATTTTTATGTAGTACTTGTGAACATTGGATTATGTAAGACAGTTTTGCAAGTCCTATCAACTGTTCGCCAGTCCTACTTTATCAACAAACAATAAATAGTTCCCAGTTGGATCATTCATCAAGAGAAATGAAAAAAAAAACTTAAATAATACTTGTATGTTTTTGTTTAATTTTATTTACATAGAATTATCTGGTCATAATTTGTCCCGTTTTAGAAATTTTGGTTTCCATTGCTTTTCAACTATATAATTGATTTGGCCTTTCACTGTTCCAACTGATTTAATTCTTGCGCCACTGATTAGTCATATGGAGACGAAAGCTGTACGTGTTTATCGTACTAAAATCTTCTCATTAAGGCGCGTATACTCGCCCTGGACGCATGGTTTTCTGTCTGGACGCGCCATTGCATGAACCCGTGCGTCCGCGGAACGCTTCCTGATAACACTAGCTGAGTCTTGTTATCATCATAATTATCCCCAAGATATCAAAAAGAAGCTGTAAACATGCTTCTTTTCAATATTTTTACCGGAAATTTACTTTCGTTTTACTTCATTCATCGTCATAAACCCCGAGCAATACGAAAATAATTATGATCACATGACTAACACTAATTGGATAAACACAGAGAAGATCGAAATCTTTTTACATCAGCACGTTTAGAACAACGGACAAATCCAACAGCGACCCAATTTTGATGTAACGCTCTATTTTTAGCACGAAAGGAGATTTCCAAATATAAATATCACAAAAATAGATTTACGCGAAATAACGCACATGAAAACGACTAGAAAAGAGGGACGAAAGATACCAGAGGGACAGTCAAACTCATAGATCGAAAACAAACTGACAACGCCATGGCTAAAAATAAAAAGACAAACAGACAAATAATAGTACAGATGACACAAGAAGGGTTGAGAACGCATGGTTTTGACATTTATAATTGGGTTTACCTTTGCATGAATTGGGTTTTTGAACGCTGCAATCATCAATTGCATTGGGTTTTCAATTGTTTTTATTGCGTGATCACGCAAATACGCAGCTTATCTGGAGCTCTGTAATTCTGCCTCATGAACATCTCTGATTCCTTATCTATATCCGATTCTGGTTGTACCTTTTAGTCCCTTTTGATTTCATAATCTCTTTAACGTTTGAATTAAGAAATGGTAAAGAACAAATGGCAATAGTGTGTCGATTCAACAAATTGGTTCGACTGGGATAAACGGTGGGACTTTTGACTGCACCATTGGGAAATGAGGGTATGTTGGACAGGGGCAGACATTTCGGCATCGGATTTACCTTCCCAATTCTTTCTGATGTAACTGAGTATTTATAAATCCCGCACAGCCAAACGGATACCGTGTTTAGTAAAGGTTTTACTGTATAGGAAGAAATCCAACTATGACCAAATTTCTATACCCCATGGGGGTTCAAATGTGTGCAAATGGCCATAAACAATAACATGCACCACTGCATAACATTTCGAATTATGCATATATGTTAAATTGTTGAAAAACTTATCATACGTATATATTCATTTTTTAATTCGACTGAGCGACAATCATGATCAACAGCCATTCTTGTTTCTGATTGGTCTATGTGTTGATTCTGTTCCTCAGAAACGGCATACTTAAAGCAAAGCAACTATATGAAAATAAGGAGATGTGGTATTATTGCCAATGAGACTACTATCCACCAAAGTACAAATGAAGTGGCTGTAAGCAATTATTGGCAACCGTACGGCCTTCAACAATGAGAAAAACCCATACCGTATGGTCGGCTATTAAAGGTCCCGACATGAAAAATATGAAACAATTCAATTGAGAAAAACTAATGGCCTAATTTATAACAAAACAATTTAGTCTATTACGATTGGGTATAAACGATCTTTCAGTAGAAGGAACCAAGTGTTAACTGTTTCTGATCTCTTCAAAGACACTCATCAAGAGACTTACCATTATACGTTGTTTCCTAAAAAGGTATTTTAAAATATGTTTAGGTAATCTCGTACCACGAGCACCCGGACGAGAATTGGTAACTCTGCACACAAGTTTCGGCCAATAGTTTAGTGTTCTTATCTCTTTGATGGTTAATTATAATCAAATGTATAATTTTTCATTATTTTTTCATATCGGACATTAGACGTAATATTTGTCTTTTTATCTAGTATATTAGTATGCATATATGTCACAGGCACTTGTCTCTGAATGTAATGCACTAAAACTCTAGAATCAAAAAGCTTTGCATTATGCGCAAGTAAATACACAGTTGTCAGGTAAACAATGAATACAATCTCTTAAACTATCTTGCAAGTCATCAGTTTGCATTATTTCCCCGTTCCGATATAAGATTTGTCCACTTTTTGAAAAACCGGTAACTTTAGCAGTGGAACATGTAATAGCTTGTTTTAGTTGACCGATTTCGCAATTAACTAGGCTAGTCATTAAAGATCAACATTAACTCTTTCTAAAATCTCCCCCAAAGAATAAGTTTTATTTCAACTGTAGAGAAATGGAATACACAGTTAGTTTTTATATTTTTATGTGCGTAAAAAAATTTCCAAGAAGACCAAACATACGGTTGATTGAGACATGACACATAAACTTGTCTTCTGTTGAAATCCGTAGGTACAGATGTACGTATATATATATATATATGTTTTATATGCCTACCAAAATAATAAAAAAAAACAATCATACGAAGGCTGAGACATTTTTTAACCATATATATAACAATTTCATTTGAGGAGACAACCATACGAATCAACACTAAGAAACCCTTTTTAGGATCCGCTGAATGTTCTTTTGGTTGGAAAATACATTATGTCAACTCTTCAAACCATAATATTATTTATACATGTGTCTATTTAAGGATTTCTGTTCTATTTTTAGCTTCAAAATTTTCCACAAAATTGCGGACGTGAAAGAAAACACTTAAAAAAAAAACGTTAAATTACATAATGTAGCGATGATCCCATGCAATCATTGTGAAACATCACTTTTATTTATTATTTATGTGTTATAGTCTTAAAAATTATGAAGTATAAATATTAAATGATAGTGAGGAATTAAGGTTAATGTAAATATAAGATCGTTTTGTGTCTTCTGTTGACCGTTGACTGACGCAGCTGAGAATTTTATGTGGTTCATTTTCTTTTCTTGAATTGGGAAATATTTTTACTTGTTTCGACTGGTGTGGTAATTAGGGAAATTGGGGATATCTTACAAAGATTAAGTTTAGTATTAATGTGTCAAACTTGCATCCCCTTCTTCTTATTTTTTGCAAGACGATGTCTTTTCCCAGTAAATATACTAGGGTTGCTGTAGGGACGGTTTTGACATGCTACATAAAAATAATCCAGAGACCACACTGTTTTCCTCTCCACAGTTATAGTGGAGAGCTACAATTTTTACACTGTTTTAACTGGTCGGCAAGATATCTAAGCTCCCGATTTTTTTTTTTAAGATCGTCTTCATGATTATTTTATACTCATTTTCAAAATTCTCTAGCATTTCTTCATCTTCAATTTTAGAAAACCAGTTAATTTTCCTAGAAGATACATACTTCCCATCAAGTTTACCGTTGTCCCGTAGGAAAATCATAGGTCGCAACATTGCAAAATCTGTTCAAAGGGACGTAACTCGTGCAAAACGTCGCAACATTTCGCGGAATCCGCTAGACGGCGTTCATTTACTGTAACTTGACCTTGTTATTTTGTCACACACGTTCTTTCACAAGGTGATATTAGTTTATTTTCTAAAGTTGACCCATATTGCTTCTAGATTTATTTACAAATTTACATTCTTCATCAAGGAATTGAATATTTAAATACACAATTCATTGTCTTCATATACTGCAAATGGGGACACCAGATTGCTTGGTTTAGATTCTTTTTATAGGAAGCAGCATTCTTAGATTAAAATTGCTGCTGAAGATTTTTATTGAAATTAAAAAAAAAACTTTAATAATGAAAAGCAACTTATTTCCATCAACATAAAAAGAAATAAACAATGAGCAAACCCCAAAACGTATGATATTTTTAGTCCTATTTTAGAAAAGGAGAGCCTTTTAAAAACATGTTTAAAGTAACCGGATTTGCATTTATATTCGAAAAAGAGATATTCAAACTCATAAGTCGAAAACAAACTGACAATGTCATGGCAATAAATGAAAAACATCAGTACACAAAACACAACATAGAAAACTAGACTGGGCAATACAAACCCAACAAAAAACCGGGGTATCTCATGTGCTCCGGAAGGCTAAGCAGATCCTGTTCCACATGTGGCATCTGTCGTGTTGCTCATGTAAGTAAAAACCGGTGATTAGCCCAATTCTGTATGTCATATTCGAGGAAAAGAGGACGGGATTGTGGTTTCGACAATTGGAACATATCCATCGTCATCTTTGAAACAGATATTTGATTACGGTCAACCAACTCGTGATTGCGTCCGTAAAATGTACGAAGGGATGATTTCAACTTTACCACTTGGAATTCTTGGTTCAATGGCTTCTTTGTGTGCAGCAACCGTCTATCAAGGACATCATGATAGGAACTACCAGCTTTGGAATATCGTATCAACTGGGAGATATATATTTCATATGCAGGCGCTGCTGGAATGTTGATACATAGAAATGAAAAGTTCATAATTGGGAAGCTGAAATCATCTTTTTTATCGCAAAGTTATGTTGACCCTCATTGTCAATTTCTAGATGTAAATTAAGATATGAGGCAGACTTGACTGTATCTGGTGCATCCTTTATTTCAAGTTCGATGGGATAAATTCATTCAACAGTTATCAAACTTTGAATATAGCGGGACGTGAAGTTAAAGGATAATGCTAGCCATTTTCATTCTTCCTAAGTATGAATTCAACCTCATATAAATAAAGAAACAAGTCGGCAAGACGAGGAGTACAGTTGGTTCCTATGGGACTACGGATTGTTTGTTGAAAAACACGTCCTCCAAACGTAACAAATATGTTGTCAATCAATTAAGAAGTCAAGCATCTTGATAATTTCATGCAGTTTAACAGAATTTTTTGTTTGAATCAGAGTGATTTTTTTACAAAGTACGATTTATCCCTCACTAAGGCATGATACTTGTATCTACGTTGGCCATTTTTTTTTTATGAAACAAGGCAGGACCAATTCTTTCAATTTGACTTTTCGTTTGGGAAGGGGGATACTTGTGTAAAGGGTATAAAAGTCAAATGTTTTAATACTACTAGTATTGCAAGTGGAAAGAGACTTAGATTGTATGTACTTAACAGGTCTTTGGAATTTATTAGTACCCACATCTGATTCCACTGCCCCTAGAGTGACTGGTAATGAAAATATGTGTTCGTGATTTCCATCATTCCTTCAAATATAGCATTCCGTTAACCATTAAAACAAATTTGATATGCAAAAATATCAGAGGAAATAATATACATGGAATTCGAACACATGCAATTTTCTATAATATCGTATTTCAACGAATACAAAAAGACATTGTTAGATACAGCAGTATATATAATGTTGTTATGCAATATTTTACACATGTTGTAAAATATGTTGTGCGGGAAAAAAGGGGGAAGGTAGACTAAGGCCGTTGCCTCCCCTCTCCCGCTGAAAGTTTAAATGTCGTCGCTCTTCGGTTTACATAGTCTCTGTGTTCACTACTATAACTACGACAATTTGGGGGACTGTCGTTCGCGTACTTTCGAGGCCTCCTGGTGAATAAAACAAAGATGTCTACATATGTTTATTTCGAGTCCAACCATAAGAGTAATCTAGTCAAAATACATTAATATGAAATAAAAGAGTTTGATTCTTAAAATGAACTTGAATTAACAATTATCAAAATACTTCATTATTTAATTGAAATACATGTAGTTTATCATGATATCTATGGTAACTTTAATAAAGAAAGATTTCTATTATAAAATTGTTGTATTAAAACATTACTAAGGTTACGTTTAATTTTTCATTAAACAAAATTTATAAGTTTACGAACCTGGTGAATAAAACAAAGATGTCTACATATGTTTATTTCGAGTCCAACCATAAGAGTAATGTTTGGTACCTTAGGGTTTCCTATTTTAAACCCTAGGAACACGTGCTGGTTGGTCTTGTTTTATTCACCAATCAAAATGCTTTTTAGAATAATTAATTTTATAAGAACAGTTTCTATTGGTTAAATCTCTTTTAGCAAATTCACATTTTTTCCATAATTTGGGGTTACTATTTTTAATTACTAAATACTTTGTTTTTACGACCATTAGAGAAATCCGATTATTTGGCTAGATAGAATTCTAGGTGAACAATAGAAAAGAATGATATATATTTGCTAAAGGAAATACTTCTAAGAGTTTAAGCTGTCAAACCTTATTTATATCGATAAGTGTCAAATAGGAAGAATTTCACATCTAATACTTATATATCAAAAGTTACATAACATTATAGACTTTCTAATTATATCTTTTTACATAAAAAGCTTTATACAAGAATTATTTATTTTCTACAAATACATGTAAGATTAACTTTTATATGAAATATTAAAATCTATTTCTTTAAATATTTTACCTCAATTTACCATCATTATAAATACCTTATTCTGAAACTATAAAAATATGAGAAAAATATACATAAATTCGTACCGATAAATCCTTCAAGATCACAGTACAAATGTCCTAGAATTTATGTGTTAAAATTGAAGATTGAGGGAAAATCTACTCCACTGCATTTCAAGCAACAAAAAACAAAATTTTCAGTTCAAGTTATTATATAGAAGTATATGTACAAAGTTAACTCTTTTATTTATAAATGTGGTTTAACAGAAACAGAAAAGTTCAATTTTTGCACTGAATCCAAAGAAAGCTTATAACATATCTTTTGGGAATATATATACGGTAGAAATATTTGGATTGCACTTCAAAACTTATTATTAAAACGGGGATTTACCCTGGAACAGATTGATGCAAGGGATGTTATTTTTGGTAATGGGGAAATATTTTTACCTATATAATACAATTCAACATATAATGTTGATTTAAAAATATTATATTTATAGCTTTTAAAATTCAGGAGAAAAACCTTCTGTGAAAGGTTGTACTGAATATTTAAAATATTGTGTTAGAATAGAACAACATACAGTGAATTATTTATCTCCTAAACAATAAGAAGATATATATGAATAAACTGTTGACACGGAGATATGTCTCGCCTGTCGGCATAAAATTCAGAAAAATACAATCTGATGGACAGCAACATTGCTTATTAATTCAGTCACTGGACCATGATTTAGTGGGCAGGACCTGAAAATGGTCGACAAACTGAGATGTACAGACAGTGATGTAACCTTATAGAAAATATCGTTGTTTATTTTAAGTAGCTCCTATCAAACTAACTTGAGCAGAAAACTTAACATTGAAAATTGCTAATTAATTCAGTCACTGGACCATGTCCTAGGGGACAGGCTCTTAAATAAGTTGTCAAATTGATATGTTCTGATAATAATGCAACTTCATACAAAATATCATTGATCTATTACAAGTAGATCCTATCAAACTAACGTCAACGTCGCCGGAAAAGCAATCCCTACGTCTCGCTTTCCACGACTTTCGTCGCAGGCGAGACAAAAATGGTTGTCCTTAGAATCTGTCCTAGGTGATTTAAATATTGCATATTGGGTTCACAAATTATAGTTATATCATTGTTTATGTTTGCTATTTTGAGATGTAATATAATAGACTTTAAAGGAAATATCAGACTATACTTGAAACTGTACACATGTAAAAATTAAGCTTGATGTAATTTGTCTTTATGTCAAAAATAAACAAATTACAACAACAAAAATTCGAACCGATAATGTTTTTTTTATATGACCGATCTATAAAGTACTTGTATAATAATAAACTACACATTTGTGCAGAATAAATGGACATTAATCAAGTTGTTAAAAAGTATGCATAATTAACACAGCAATGTAGGCTTATCACATATTAAGTAATTACTAACAGTTTAATCTCTAGGGCATACACTGAAGACATGCAAATACTTTATATAAGGCACAGACCAACAAAGGGGGAGGGGGGGCATCATACGCGTGTTTTATTTTCTCAGGACTAACAATTTTTACTTATGTCAAACAAACAAACAAATTCATAACGTACATGACCAAGAATTTGTTATTGAATTCCAATAAATTCCATGCTCCTACATCTTCCCCTAAAAGGAATTCAAGATGATTGGTCAGTGCCTGGAGTATGAAAAAAAGTATATAACAGAGGATTGAATAGCTATACAGAAGCTTGATTATCAGAGGTTCACAGTTATCACATTCGGCTATACTTCCCAACAACATGTCTACAATTCGGGCACGTGTGAGTTACATCTTTACAGGAATCTATACACAGCGGGATAACACAGCATAACCAGAACCTGAAATCATATCATAACAAAAATGTGTTAACAAGGTCATGTACTCTAATTAACAAGGTCAAATACAAGTTTTCACATTAACAACGTCAAATATTTGCTCATTGTTGAAGGCCGTACGGTGACCTATAGTTGTTAATTTCTGTGTCATTTGGTCTCTTGTGGAGAGTTGTCTCATTGGCAATCGTACCACATCTTCTTTGTTATAAATTCACATGAACAAGGTCAGGGGTCACATAAAACAAGGTCAATTAAGAATAGAATTGACATGTTTTTAGTTTATTCAAGGTTACTTGACATTGACGGACATTGGGTTTCTTACTGGTATTCACATATTGATAATTTTTACCATGGTATAAGCATAAACGTCACATTTTAACATGGTAGCAAATGAAAATCTCAATTTGTACCATGTTCATAAATAAAGATAACATTATTTTGCCATAAAAAAAATTGTAATGCTTTAAAAATAGAATGTTTTTCTTAACTCATTTTAATTGAACTCTAATCTTCTATAGCTCTTACCAAGTCCAAGGTTTTTTGTCATCGGATTTTGTTATTGATAAATTGAAACATAACTAAATTTGTTTTAATTCCAATTAATGCAGTTTTGAACACTTATGGTCCAATATCCTAAGGGAGTTGCATCGATTAGTTATAGTCATATTCACATAAATTATTTATAGATTATATATAAAACTGAGATGTTTACTCATAATAATTCATTTCGATACCAAAGAAACTTTACACTAAATCCATTGGCTTTGTAGTAATTCAAATGTTTGTCTAGGAATCATGATTTATTTATTAATTAGTTGAAATTGGCTTTGAACTGGCTTTCAGTGACTGCGAGTACTCTTAGATCGGTACTTTTTGTCTTTAGTGTTTTTTGTTAGTTTGGATTTGTTTAGCTTTGTGTCGATCTGATGAGTCAAGCCTTTTTTTAGATAATTTTTACAGTTTGCTGTTAAGTTTTACTAGCTGTTTACCACTGTTACACATATTAAACCAGATACTAAGTTCTGTTTCAAGCAACAATATACATTTAGTTGTGAAATTAAATGATATGATATTCAAGAAAGTCGGTAAATTCAGAAATTATTGCGATGTTTTTATTATTGCGAAAATTGCGACGACGAGATATGTTTCGCCAAAAAAAACCTTGCGCATTAAATTTCGATGGCATTATTTAACAGGCCCTTGTCAGTGTTACAAAATCGTATATTCTTAATATTAACGCCTTATATCAAGGTATATATATATATATATATAAAGTCTAAATTGAAAACAACGTTCAAACCTATGATTGCGTTGGATAAAAACCGCAATTTTTATACGTGTGCATGCAAAACAAATTTCTTGGTAGAGGGGTCTAAATACAGCACAAACAACAATTTCCAAAAGACTAAAAAAAAGTGAAAAAGTCTATTTTAACAATATATATATATATATATATATATATATGGGATTTTTTCAAAGACAAGTAAGTGCCTGTGCATTATTTGTATGCAACATTTCCTGAATAATCAATTTCGTATTTTTGACCAATGTCCAACAACCGCAATAACAAATGCACGCAATAATTTCTGAATTTACAGTTTTTGCATACCCAGTGAAAAACAAAACCAAACAAATGATCCACGCCAGCATACCAGGTTCACAAGAAGTCGAAGTAATCACATCTGCTTTACACGCCGGACACTGTATCCTTACGGGAGTGTCACCGTATTGTGGGGACACCACTACCGTCGGTTGTGCTAAGACTACTGTCTGTTGTATCTGACCTTGTGGGTTGCTTTGTTGACTATAAGGAGGCGGGGCTACAACAGACATGTCATTTGATAAGAACAACTATATATTGAATTTAAAAACAGACAAGCACTAAAAGCATAGTTTTAATAGTATTTTATTCTTGTGCTCATGTGTTTCTTTTTTGGCGGCAAAAAAATACCACGATTCTATACATGCTAAGAATGACTTCAACAAATGTGCATCCACATCAATTTATAGAATGACAAGAATTAGAATTAAGTAAACAGCAACCACAGACACCTCCTTGACTTGGGTAACTTATGTTGGCAAAACATATGACATATAAACAAGGATAACAAGATTTACCATAAATATGGACAGTACAGCAGACCACATCAACCACAAACCCCTCCTAACAAATAAACGTACAAACAATAACGAACAACACATGGTTCTGATAGCATGACTACATGTAATAGTGTGTACAGGCGCAAACTATGGTAATATTAAACCAGTCTTACATGCGCAAAACCCTCCCACCTTATTCCGCCTATGATACATAAGTACGGATAACAAGAATTACCACAAATATGGACAGTACAGCAGACCACATCAACCATGCACAACCCCTCCTAACACATAAACGTACAAACAATAACGAACAACACATGGTTCTGATAGCATGACTACATGTACTAGTGTGTACATACGCAAAATATGGTTATATTAAACCAGTCTTACATGCGCAAAACCCTCCCACCTTATTCCGCCTATGATACATAAGTACGGATAACAAGAATTACCATACATATGGACAGTACAGCAGACCACATCAACCACAAACCCCTCCGAACAAATACGGCTGTTGTCTGCTCTTTGGTCGGGTTGTTGTCTCTTTGACATATTCCTTATTTCCATTCTCAATTTTAAACAATAACGAACAACACATGGTTCTGATAGCATGACTACATGTACAGGCTCCAAACATGGTGAAATTAAACCAGTCTTACATGCGCAAAACCAACCCACCTTATTCCGCCTATGCTGTTTTCTGCTCTTTGGTCGGGTTGTTGTCTTTTTGACACATTCTCCATTTCCATTCTCAATTTTATGATACATAAATACGGATAACAAGAATTACCATAAATATGGACAGTACAGCAGACCACACCAACCACAAACCCCTCCGAACAAATAAACGTACAAACAACACATGTCCTGATAGCATGACTACATATACAGGCCCCAAACATGGTGAATTTAAACCAGTCTTACATGCGCAAAACCTACCCTACTTATTCTGACTATCTAGACAGTCAAACACACAATAAAAACCTAACTACCAACAGGATGACCTACTCACATTTAAAGATCTAAAAAAAGGCAGATAAGCTGTACAACAATGTCAAGATGGGCTAGCTACTACAGGAAACTATCTTAGGTAGCCACAGTTGTTGGTTAATACTGCTGCTCAAGAAAACAAACAACAAAAAATCAGCTACATGCATCTTTGTCGTTTTTCAATTCTCCTCTTTCCATTACACAAGAGAACACAACAATATTTACGTTTCTTTTCATGGTCTTTGATTGTTGTTGATAAAATTAAAATTCATACTTTTATATTTAAATGCATTTTTCCTTTCTTATATCATTGACATCACATTTATTTATAAATCGAAAAAATTTCAGTTATTCAGTAAATGACACAATCCGATTTAGTGTTATAACCTTGAAATGGTTTTTTTCTACTTCAGAATAGAATAGTTTTGTGTGTGCACTTAACGGAAATGAAAATAGAAATGCATCTTAAAAGGTTTTTTTTTCATCTTTATCGTTTTTCAATTCTCCCCTTTCCTTTACACATGAGAACACATGTCAACAATATTTACGTTTCTTTTCGTGGTGTTTGATTGTTCAGTAGCCATGTCGCTGAAGATATTGTCTAGTTAACCTAGTTTTGGATCGAAAGACCTGCGATTTTTGAACAGGAACTAAATTTGTGAATTTTCTGGTTTTGGTCTATTGCTGTGGTAAATGGCATCAACACTGACAAACTCTGTCATATTGGCCGTTTCTTCTCTTTTTTTATACAATTGAATATGAGCAATGAATTCTTTCAGTGCGTTGTTAACAAACTTAAAATTCATACATTATGCATTTGTTCTCTCTTATATCATTGACTTCACATGGATTGATAAATTAGAAAAGTTTCAGTTATTCAGTACACAAATAAGATTTTAAAAATGTTATAACCTTCGAATATTTTTTTTCTACAGATTTGAATACTTTTGTGCATATGGAAATGAAAATGTAAATGCATATTAAAGAATAAAATTTTTGTCCCTTTTAAAAGCGTGACATCAACAAATTTTAGTCACGAGGTGCGTAGTCATAATCATATGAGAGAACACCGCTTTATTTTTAGATGGTCCTTCATTAAGATTCAGACTGTGTGATAAAATTTAAGTACTGCTGGCAGTTTTTTTATCAACCATCTACGATTCTAAAAATGTATCACATGAATTTCGCTGAGACCCTATCTGAAGAGGGTATAAGGGAAACAAAATTGTCTTCTCAAATATGACGATAATGCAAAGAAAAAAAATCTTTATCGGTTCTTAATAAAATGTTAGGTAAAAAGACTTTCTTGTAGTTTTCCCATTTGAAACAAGTAATAGTTTATGAGGAAATTGCAAAAAGATGCAGTTTTGCCTTCGCTTCTTCATTGCAGGTGTTCATGTAGCCATGACATGGACCAATCAAAACACAGGATGTAGTACATGTATACCACAAGGAAAATTAGGTTTGTGAAAACTGTAATTTGTACTAATGATATATTTTCTTGAACGTAATTTTTCCATGACTAAAAATTGGTCAAAATCTTAAATTAATTTTTATCAGACATGCAGTGATTTATTGTAGAAAAAATAATACTCTGGAAAGTATTTGAAAAATGGAGAGATTGGTGGATATATCTTATTAAGTCCAGTGGCAAACTCTAAATGCAGTTCGGTCGATACCATGCTAAGGGGACGACCATTTGAATACGGGGGCTGAAGGGGGTGATTTAAGAAATGAATATGCTGACTTGATTACAACTGAAAATATATAATATAACACAATAGTAGTAATACAATAATTTCGTTCTGTAATTTTTTGTTCATTATTTTTAAGCTTCACTGTACTGGAATTCGGTTCATCAACTTATTGTGTAGATTCAGATTTATTAGAAAGCACTCAGAAACATTTAAACGTGTAACATGAGGTCAAATACATAATACAATATCATAGAGTGGGATCATTATGCAAATAATGAAAGCTTATTTTTCACAAGATCATATTTTTTTTATAATTTGGCGTATTGTTTTTTCTTCTTCTTTTCTGGTTCTCGTTTTTGTTTTTTTGTTTTATTATGTTTTTATATTTTCTTTTTCTTTTTCTTTTGTTTTTTGTGTTCTTTTTTTTCTCTTTTTCTTTTGTTCTGTTTGTCTTTTATATAGAGAAAAGTGACGATGGTATAGGTCCTCAAAACTTATATCTATAGTCACAATTTTTGTATAGATTCGTGGCGATTTAGAGTTTAGATTTTGTATGGAAACATGTTGGTGTTGAAGATTCCGTTACAACATCTACGTAAATTGTTGTTTTGTTTTTAAAGTTCTTTGGTGTTGATCAGTTGCTTTCTCAGTAACGAATCCCCACATCTCCTTTTATTCATTTTCAAAGGAGGTTAAATTAAAAGTGCATTTCATATTTCTAGCTATTTGACACAAGCTTACTTAAGGCCTCTCACATACATGGGTCATTTTCAAAAATGTCGAATCTTGAAATTGCAAAATTGAATAAAAGTTACTTATTCAAACAATCCTCTTCATAAGCAAATCAAAACAAACAGTACTTCAGGAACAACATATAAAAAGATGCCATCTTGATAATGTCATAGAGAACATATTGAAATATTTTTTGATAGGTGGTGCAGTATTTTGTTTCTCCTTTTACCATGTTTAAAAGAAATTTTGGGTTATTTAGAAAAGGTTTCGATAAAATTTTAAGCTTGTTTTTCATAACCAATAAGATGGTTTTCAAGAGTAAAAACTTCTATATATTTTCATTCTGAGTAATGATAGATTATTTGTCAATTTTCCTTGTTGTACTGAAAAATACTTCTAAAAATTGGTTTTCAAAGGTGATAAAAATAACCACCAGCAACGCAAGTCTAAGATAGCAATTAATAATGTTCAGCATTTTTTTCTTTTGTAATAAACCCAAACATCAAGTAATCCGTCGCATGTTGGTTTACTTTTGTCTTCTTTTTTTTTTGGTAACAAGAACGTACGTTAACGATATATCAATGTATTAAGTTCTATCCTGTTACCCTTTTTGTCTATCCTGTTACTGATAGCAGTATTGCATTTGTATATGCTAAATTGCGAAAATTAAGACGTTGTAACCTTTAAATGAGTTCAAACAACCAAACATTTCATTATGTGTAAAACTATATGTAAGTATAAACTTTTTAAAGACGTTTCTGTCAAATATTGTCTATATCCTGTTACTGTTACCATAGTAATCATAGTAACAGGATAGACATAACAGGATAGACAAATTTCTTCATTTATGAAAGTTCTTTTGAAATAACTACTCCCTTTGATGAGGTGATAATGTAATACTTCTGTGATTTTCGTTTCCAACACGTAATTGCACTTTTTACAAGTATAATATTGGAGTAATTAATAAATATGTTGGTAACAGCATAGACATGACAAAAGGGTACCCACTATTTTTTTTTAACTATAAATGTCTTGAATTGTCTTTTCTCTACACTGTTATGCAAGAAACGTGCTGTGTTAAATTTTATGAAGCTTTGTGCTTTTGAAATCATCACTGCATAGTTCCATATTCATAGGGAGAAAATTAACGTTTGACTTAGTAGCGATAACAGGATAGACATGCATTTCATGTACGCCGATTGAATTTAGTTTGTAGAAAAAATGTTACACAGAATAATAAAGAAGCTGTGATTTTTCGTTAGATTTATTATCAACATTCTAAAATAGTTCCTTTTGCAGATAGAAAGCCAATCTGAAAATAGGGAAAAAATCATTTGAAATGTGTAACCCCGACACCGTACGCACAGAAATTACGCAAAATGGGACTTAAACATATTTTAATCTAAATAGATCTGAATCGTGTTTATTATTGATATTCCGACTCATTAATCCTACAAACTTTCATTTAACACTTACAACTGCATTTTCCTTTAAAAATAAAAATTTAGGCATAAGTGTACTGAAAATTCGACATTTTTTGAAAATAACACACATAATAAAATATCCGGGTTCATCGAATGTCTTTACGTCAAAATCATTTCGATTGTACTAAATATATGGATACTTTCGTTAAAATCCACTTTATCGTATGTTATATGCCTAAACTAATTTAAAACTGTATGTAATTAAAATGGTATTCCACTCTACAGTGACAGGGTTCTTTTAATAAAAAAATATCAAAGACACTGATGCATCTATTTGCCACTTTTATTGCGATAGCATTGAATTAACAAATCGGGAGACTATACCAGAACACCAGAGGGTGTGGATGGGGTTTTACAGAATAGAGAATAATGAGCAAAAAATATAAAGAATAGAGAAAAATGAGCGAAAAATATAAAGAATAGAGAATAATGAGCAAAAAATATAAAGAATAGAGAATAATGAGCAAAAAATATAAAGAATAGAGAAAATGGACCAAAAAAATAGAGAACAGTAAGGTGCTAAAATATAAAGAATAGAGAATAATGAGCAAAAAGTATAAAAAATAGAGAAAAATGGCCTTAAAACTTAAAGAATACAGAAATGAAGGACCCCCAATCCGGACCCTCATACCAACGGGATACAAAGAAACACAAGTTTGACCTTTCTAAAAAACTACGGAGTGATTCGCAGTACCAAAATTCCGTAAGATTTTGTGTTTGGTGTAATTTTTAGAGGGGATTGAGTAAAGACGTCCAACTTGCGTTTCGAAACCACCCACAATTCATATATTGATTTATTACTAAAATCACCTAGTCCATACTAGTAATCATATTTCAATTATATTTATTAGATCATCAACCATTCATATATTTCCAAGATATCAGACACACAACTGACATCTTTACTAGATGTTAACGACATGAGTTAATGTTATTCATTATAATTAGATAAAGAGATAAGTACATAGATTTTTACAGACAGCTAAACAGAAGATGAATACTTATATATATAATGACCAAATCTTACAATTCTTGCTAGATTTTATGAAATTTATATCAAAGGTGTAATCGTACAAATTTCGAAAATCAGTGTCGATCAACAGTTTTTAAAAAGTAGTGCCCCTTGGAAATATCAATTATATATAAAATTGCATCATAGGGCTCTCAAGCCTACATTTCTATAAGATATTTATAAAAAGATTTAAAGATCCCAAACAAAATCTTTTTTTTAATCATCGCTCTTGAAACGGGGATGTCCGACATCGGAACCCTGTTCTTTTGTTTGTCTTTGTTTTGCGCTTAGTGTCGATCTTTGAGTTAAGACCTTTCCAACTGATTTTTTACAGTTTGGATCAGTTTGGTATTATGCTCTGTTGTTAAACCACTGTCCAAGGTTGGGAGGAAGGATTGAGTGCTAACACACATCTCTAACCCTGACTTACAGGTTTATTTGTATGTCCCAAGCCAAGAACATGTAATCAAACGGTTGTCAATGATTGCTGTTGTTTTCCGTTTTCCGTTTATTGTAATATAATTTAATTTTGGATGTAACGCGTCTTCTGATTGGCTTACGTTGTTTTGTTTATCAGCTCATAGACATAATTTTGTCATGTGACCGTGACGTCATCAACGTTTTTTCATGGTTTACTCCGGTTTAAAATGGAATTTTAAATTAAATTATAAGAAATGACTGTAATATTTTTTCTGTCTATTCGAAATAACATAAAAAATGTGGTGCACACTTTAAAATAACCCGCTATGCGTGTTATTCAGTGTGCACCACATTTTTGATGTTATTTCTTCATAGACAGAAAAAATATTACAGTCATTCCTTAAATAAATCAGGCTTTTTGTTTTTATCTTAAAATTGTTTCGGAGTTTTCATTCCGGGTCTTTTATGGTTTATCCCACGGTATGTATATTGCTTGTTGTAGAAGGCCATATGGTACCCTTTAATTGTTCAAATCTTTCCCTGTTGCTTTTTAATGAATAGTGGTCTCATTGGCGATCATACAATATCTCCTTATTTGTATGTAATATTAATTGTCAAAAATATAACGTGTCAACCTGATGAAATTGTAAAATTTATGTAGTTTAGTAGCAGAGATTTATTATGAATTATCTCAGGAATTATGTTATACATTAATGTGATGATTAAGGTGGGACTATATATAAAAGTAAACTAAAACCAAAAAACAAAAAAAAAAACGAGGAAGGAAAAGGGAGAAGAAAACATATTACTTAAGCCTGCCTTCATATATTTCCTCATATATTAAGATGATGAAGAAAAAAAAATAGATATACAGTTTTTGTGACGTTTTTTTATTTTTTTTTATTTACGAATATCTCACATTTCATTTTATTTCTGCATTCCCTTTTATTTACATGTATTCACTGACTGTATAAATTAAAATATATATATATACATGTATATATATAACAACAGCAGAAGTGTCTTACCTTGCGCTGCCATTTTGTTGAAGGAAGTACTTCGTCAAAAGCGGATGCGTATATATTCAGGTAAACGTGTAATATGTGCACTGGTGTATTAACAAAGTCCAGGGGAAATTAAGAAATACAGTTGTATTTGTCGTTATATTGTTAATTTACAATCATATGAAGACGCCGGGTAATTAAAAGAAGCTTTAAAGAAACATGCAAATTATAGTTAATATATGAAGACGTGAGAGATAGGGAAGCAGGATGATATTCCCTGGTAATTGAAGACGGCACCAAAAAACGTATAACATGCAGAAAATAATCAAATTTAAATCTTCTGAAGACTTCAGCGGGTTCTTTTTAAATTTCATTCATTGATTTATTGACAGAACAAAGATATCTTATATAGTAATTATAGTATGGGAACTATGTAAAATTTTTATTCTGAAGGCATTTTTTTAAAGACAAATTTAGAAGCGCAATGTGTCAAGCAAGACTAGTGTAACTTTTATAAATGAATTTATTATAGACAGTATGTGAAAATACTATTTAACTATATCGTTGTATTATCAGTACGGTAATTTACCTGCATGTTTTCATTTGAAAGTTATTAAACCGTGTACAATAAATCAACATGTTGTCTTTTGCTCAGCTCACATGACTTTTCGCTGTCTGGTCCTTTTGAGTATGGTTTTCTTTAGCCAGCTTTATCTGGTTGACTTGGAATCGTCTATACATGTACATGCACTAGTCGCATCTCGATCGTGTATTGTCCTTTTGATTACATCCCCCCCCCCTTTTCCAGCTTGGTATCGTCTAACATAATTATATGTGTTATTTAGTTAGGACTTTGACAAAACACGGAGGATCCTGGTCTCATTAATTCTCGACTAGTTACATTTGCAGTTTAAAAACTTCTTTTCTTCATCAAACTGAAAATTGTCAATTGAAAAATTTTAATTTTTTATAACATATACTTACCTTAAATGTTGTATATGTTACTTTTCTATCTCGAAGCATACACTTGGATGTTTTAGACAGCAATCTTTTCAAAAAGCTAATATTAGGTACTTCTGCAAGGTTCTAAATCAGCTTCCGTCATTCATATGATCATACTTGTATTGACATGACGGTACAACGGACACAAAGTAAAATAACATCAGTACATGCCTCAGAATAAAATGTTGCATGCAATTTTGATCAGAGATTGTCGAACGTCTTAACGAACAGTTTTCATATAGTCTCAGACATTAATAATTTTATTCTTGATTTGATGTTGTCCTTCGCATCAGAAGCATTTAAAACAGTCATCTTTTCAAAAAACTATTGCTTGAGCCCGCCATATGTCAATGTGTGCGTACCTATTGCCTTCATGTTTTTATCAGACATTCCTGTGCATATTCAGTAACCTCTCGAGACTTTATTTTATTCGCCGTTTTATATTTTGTATTTTTCTGACAGTTTTACTGCGGGTTTTGCTAACATGAATGTTCAAAAACAGCGACGGGTAGACTTATTTCTCTCTCAAAGGATACGAATGAATACAAGCAATAAAACGGCACAAAAATCCAGAAGACGTCAAGAGGTCAACATATAGTTTCTCAGACTAAATGTGGTGAATAAATTTTACACAAACGATCAGAGATCTGCCATCAACACTATAGTCTTCAAATGACGAAAACAATCAGACCTCTGATGAGGCTCCTGATTTAAGATATTACACGAACATGTCTCTATCTGTATATTAGTTAATACTGACAGTTGACATTACTCGTACGTGTGTTTGTATAGTATACAGTAAGGATCAGTTCTAGGATAGAACTGTCAGAATCAAATCTAGGGTAGAAATGTCAGGATGGTTTCTGAACTAGAAATGTAAGAAGCTGTTCTACGATAGAACTTTCCAAAACTGTTCTAAGGTAGAACTATCTGTCAGAATCTGTTCTAGGGTAGATATGTCCGGATCAGTTCTATGGTAGATCTGTTCAAATCTGTTCTAGGGTAGAACTGTCCAAAACTGACGTAAATAAGAGCGACTCTGTGAAGTAGGGGAGAACTGTCCAAAACTGACATGAAAAAGAGAAGCTCTGTGAAGTGATATAGAACAGAGTTCGTTAGCTTGATTAACCCTGCAAGTCATATCTTAGATAAATAGGATTAAATACTGAAAATAATAACAGTCTGGGATGCATGTTTCAGTCCTATTATTTTTCCGTGTTTTTAATTATTTTACACAAACTATTTGTATATATAATAACGTTTTTAAATAGTGAAGAAGTAAACTTAAAATATTTCCGTGATTATCATCCAAAATACTAGTTTTATTATTCTCTTTACAAAGACAATTATACAGATCGAGGAACACTTCCGGAATTTTTATTACAGATTAAAGTGGCAAGGCTTATTTTTTCCTCCTTACAGAAGTTCCTCTGGAAACTTTATAATAAACAATACTGTAACGTCTGTTCATGTTTGAACACATTATTCCGTCACGAAAAAATACTGTAATATTCCTCCCAGTGCAAATGATATTGAAGTATTTTTTTTCCATTTGGAACTAATGTTATAAAGGAACTTATATTTCATGACAATACAGTCATGGACTATATCATTTTTCTCGGGAGTGTTTTTATACCCCAGTTTAACTGAGACAATACAATCTTGTTGAATGATACATATATGGTGTAGTATCATAACGTAAATTTTGGCACGTGCTAATAGACCTTTTCAACAATTGTCGACACCTACAGTTGAGAACGACTACGACAGGTGAGATATGAAGGGTCGTCTCAAAAATGAAATTAAAAAAAGATATTTACTACAGATCACATATGATTATTTTGATTGCCAATGAGAACTATCCAACAAAACGTGTATAAAAGCATTTATTGTATACCGCACCTTATTTTGTTTATTAAGTATTTGCTTACCAAAATTAAACTTATTTGTGACTTGACTATGAAGACAAGAAGGACTTCATTGTTTCATTTCTGTTAGACGTCAAGTCGGGAAACGAAAAAAAAACAACAAACAAACAAAAAACAGACCTGTATTTTGTAGTAGATTGTTTAATTAATCATTGTTTTATGTCTGTCGACTAGGGCGGTACAAAGTAACACGATTTTACAATGTCTGTTCATCTTGGCATCGGATGCCTCAATGATACTAATGACTTTATATTTCTTTTTAATTCACAAATTTAATGTTCAACGTGAAATCGATATGAGCGACAATGCAATTTTAATTTCTTCTCTTTCTTTTTAAATTATTCGGCTTTCTGTGCCGTTGCTAGACCTGGTCCCCGGCAACCAGATGCCGTAACTGACCAGAGAGAGGGGAGGAAGCTGATGAATTGCCTCGCCCTAAAGAACTTCACGTGGTTATCAGCTGCAGTACAACAAATTCATAACAGAATAGATACCAAGATTTTGAAAGACCCTTCGTGTCTCTTCTGATTCAGTATCAGATTCAAATCGTTATATTTTGTTTCCGTTTTCTTGTTATTCTTATGACTTCCGCAGAAGGGAATAAAATCACACAGTGCAACATATAAAACAGACAATACTGGTACAATTGGATATAGACCTCCCCTATGTATGGTCAGAAATGAAATTTATAAACCACTATGCGCGGGAAAAAAGGATAAAAGAGTAGAAAAACCAAAGCTATGTCCTGAAAAGGGGCAGGGTGAGCAGTTTTCGCTTCTTGCGAAACACACGAAGGTCATTTTTCGGGAACATGCAGGGAAAGGAATCTACGACAAAAGCACACGTTATGTTGCCTTTCGGGACACGGGCAACCTATAACGGCCAATCAGTTAAAAAAACAGTGCAATGACAACAAGCTCTGTTGAGATATAAATATCATACGCATCACTGAAGACACAATACTTGTGAAAATGCGCATGTGGCGCGGACTTGAAAAAATGGTGCCGTAGCTGATTCCAATTGATTAAGGAAACACATCATCTTTAGCATGGTATCTTGAAGCGGAGTAGTCCTACGTTTCTAAATTATCGATATACCCATTTCCGTTTATCTTTACCTCAATAGGCGTTTACCCCTCCCACAATTGAATGTGTACAACAAGTGACGTGAAGTCCTGTTACAATATAAAAATCAGGAGATGTGATATGATTGCCAATGAGACAACTATCCACCAAAGTTGTAATGATGTGAATCTAAGCAATTATAGGCAACTGTAAGGCCTTCAACAATGAGAAAAACCCATACCGTATAGTCGGCTATAAAAGTATGAAACAATTCAATAGAGAAAACTAAAAGCCTAATCTATATCAAAACAATTTTAGAAATAACAAATATGACAGACACGAACCAACGACAACCACTGAGCTATAGGCTCCTGACATGGGACAAGCAAATAAAGAATGTGGCAGAGTTGAATATTTTTGTGAGCGCTCAATCCTCCCCTAACCTGGGACAATGGTGTAACAACACAACATGTTCCTCCTTCAAATTTGATAAATAGCATTACAAAAACGAATTTATCGCTATTGGAACAATCTGCGTTGACAGACACGCTTATTTAAAGGAACGACAATTTTTTTCCTTACAAAATATTCTGATCCCCAATGTGATTAGAAAAAAAATACTGTGGTCAACCAGATGAAAAAAAATATCCTGAATCCAGCATTTCCTCCTACCATATAGTGTTAAATTTTGAAAAAAAGTAATTTGATAGATAGCGTCTAAAACTAAATAAAAACATAACATCCCCCTTTAAAGTTAAATGGCTGATCCCTAAATACTCACATGAAATTTAACAAGAAACAAACTTAAAAAGGCAGATAACAATGTGAAGTAATTATAAACTATTTCCTTTATTTAGTTGAATAATTTCAACATAAAATGTTGTATAAATACATTATTAAGAAAAGAGAAAGGTATAATTCATATTTGTTTGGAATATGTTCTTTCGTCAAAATATTGCAAAATCGATAAATCGAAGTTGTAAACGTAAAATTTTTCATGAATATTTTTTTTAATTTTGAGACGACCCCTCCATTTTACCTGTAAACTGTAGGTGTCATTAGTCGGTGTCGAGAGTTGTTGAAAAGGTCTAATATTAACAGCAGTCCATGAAGCTACAAAAAAAAAGAAAACAATAATAATGATTATAAAATGAACAATACTAAATAATTAATCGAGAAAAGTAACAACGATATCCAATAAAAATATTGTTTAGAAAAATAATTTTAAAATCAAAAAATGAATGAATCAATCAAGATATCAAGATATCAAAAACTGTTTTAGGGATAGAACGTCCAAAACTGTTCTAGCATAGAACTGTCAGAACCTGTTCTATGTGTCTGAGTGTTCAAATAAAATATTGAAATAAAATCTTGTAAGAAATGTCCAAAAACTATAATAGTAGGTTAGAACTGTCCAATTCTGTTCTAGGTTCTACCTTTCTAGGCCAGACCCGCATCTGCTGGAAACTGTTCTAGGTTCTACCTTTCTAGGCCAGACCCGTATCTGATGGAAACTGTTCTAGGTTCTACCTTTCTAGGCCAG